TTGTTTTTTAAGTGCCGTCAACTGACACACACCTCGCTTACATATTTTTCTTCTCCACTCAGTCTTAGGAATATAAACGCTGCATCCATGAATCTTGACATAGGAACCAGTATTGCGCTGGTCGCGGCTTGCACGGAAAAAAAAAAATTAGAAGGTTGTGCAAAAAAAAAAAAAAAATCGCGTCACGGGATTTTATTTTCCTACAATCTCGTAAATCCTAAATGCTGCTGTGTGCTCATTTCATAACACGTGTCTAGAACGCGCGAGTTCTTGAAGCTTGCTTCCATCGGAATGAGAAAAGAAAAGGCTGTGGAGTTTGATAATAATGCATCCGTTTTCGTATAGGCACTTAGAAGCTAACATATTTGTGAGACAGCGAACTGTTCTATTTTAATATTTATCCTATTACGTCCTTCTGGCGTCGCGTTCGGTGAAGTGTTTTTCATATTCCCTATCTTGTTTAATGAAAACTTCTTTAAGGGTCTAATTTGAGTTACCGAAGGCTAGTTCAAATAAAGAAAGCTGTATTTTCTCCGAGGTGGCAGGATAGTTAGCGAGTTCTACTTGTAAGTGGGCTTGTAAGGAGGTCGCGGATTTTACAGCTACTGCGTCGGACCCAATTAGATGAAGTCCAAATGCGCAAACGTCGGTGAGGTAACCTTTGAGTGCACATAAAGAAACCATTCCTGGTAGAAATCCCTGAGCCTTACACTACGATGTATCCCGTTTCGTATGTGCTGATTTCAGATGTTTTATTTGTAATTTATTTTGATGTTGCAATTTGTCATTTATAATTTCCGAACCGGTTCACGAACCGGTTCAGCGCCCCGAACCGGTTCGCGAACCGGTTCGCGGATCGAATTAATCGAATCGGAACTGAACCGGAACAAAATAAATTTACCTGAACCTGAACCGTAACCGAACCCGTATTTTTTTCGGTTCGACACACTCCTCCCCCTCCCCTTTATTGATAGCAACTCACGGGAACAGCTGGACGATCCAGAACTCCGTGGCCGATATATATATATATATATCTTTTTTTTTTATTCTTACACATTTGTTTAAAAAAACGTGAAAGCTACAGTAATGCGGTTTGTGCAGGTCGGTTATCGGCCATGCGGACATTATGTGGGTGGTTAATCTTTGCGATAAGTCGGCTAATTAATTAAAATTTGTTAATTCACTTTTTAATTAGTGGAAATAGATATATGGTTCCAATTAAAAACTTGCTGAGCGTCGTCCAAAGCCCCTAAATCAGTAATTTTTAGAAAGAATTTGAGCGTGTGTGAAGCGCAGTAGTGCGCTGAAGTTACCACTCGTGGAGCAGGTACAAGGCTGGGGCTAGATAAGAGACTGAAAAATTGCCCGGGCGCATACCGCAACCGCTAGCCTTGTAACTGCCCCACGAGTGGTAGTGCAATACTACGCTTCTCACGCGCTGAAAGTCTCTGAAAATGACTGATTTAGGGGTTTTGAATTACGCTCAGCAAGTTTCTAATTGTCTATTTCCAGTAATTAAAAAGTAAATTAACGAATTTTAATTAATTAGCCGACTTGTCCCAAAGATTAGCCGCCCACATAATGTCCGCCTGGCCGTATATAGCCCACCTGCACAAGCCGCATCAATGTAGCTTTCACGTTTTTTTGTTTTTTTGTTGCTTTTTTTAAAGAAATGTGTAAGAATAAAAAAAAAACACCCTGTATATATTAATTATCTAAAGGCATCTATGCGCGACACACGTTCAGAACTTTGGTGCGGCGTCGATTCTTGATCGGTATCCAAGCGTGCGAAGGCACAAAGATGCAGCACTCGGCGTGCCAAGGAAGCTTTGATCACGCCGCGATACCGGCGACACTTGCTTTCGACGAGTTGTACGTTTAGATACGTACGGCTTCACGCACATTGCACTCGCAAAACTCATTCACACGGCGTCGATTCTTGGTCGGTATCCAAGCGTGCGAAGGCGCAGAGACGCGGCACTGCGGCGCACCAAGCAAGCTTTGAACACGCCGTCAGACCGGCGAAACTTGCTTTCCACGAGTTCAGCCTTCTTCCTGCGACACTGCGCTTTCGTAAAATTTTCCACGTGTTCACAATGGCAAGTCCCAACGGTGCACCGAGTCTTAAAAAACTTCTTCGGAGAATGACGACGAAGGAGTAGAAAACGTGTGTAGAGCACGCTGGAAAACCGCGGCAAAACGCTGGCAAAACCGCAAATCGTATCCCAGCCAGGTTCCGTCCGGTGGTTTGACTTGCGGGAGCGGGAAGCGCGATCCAGCAATTGTCATTGAGATCAATTATAACCGATGTATTCTTTATAACGGGGGGCGGTAGCTCGCACAACCTGGACCAGACCGAACTTGCATAAAAAGTGCGGGAAATTCACTTTCATCGCGCGCAGGCCAACTGTGGTGGACCCGTGACGGTGCTTCCCGACCACGACGAATCGGCTTTATTGCTCTACCCGAAAACGGTCGCGGAGGAGCTCCAACACGCCCGCTGCCCAGCACCGAGCAGCGGCAACCTCCCGCCTGACCTGGATTTCGACGACGACCAGACGTCCCTCCTGGCCTCGTACATGAGGCAGACAGCCGATGAACCCCTGATCGCCGGAGATCTGTACAAGCGGAAAGGGTCCAAGCTGGACATCTTCAGCAGGGCATATTCCCCGCCGACGCCGAGCCCAGACACCCCGACAAAACACGGTTACTGGACGATCGACAACGAGTTGGAAAGGATCGGCACGCGGCGCCTCAGCGAGCGTAAGCAGTCCAAGTCCGATCTGTTCTCCAGGGAGAACACGTTGATGAACATGGACTCCTCCGCATCGAAGAAGTCTACGCCAGCGTCACCGAGTGGGCTCCAGGACTTCCAGAGAGGGTATCTCGATGACTTCGAGAGAGACCGTTTAGGTTCTTCGCTGGACGGCGCCACGTCACCCGATCAGAACCCGAGAGGTGATAAGGCTAGTTGCAAAACTCCCAGGTCGCTTGGCGTCGTGTCATCCCACGTAGCAAGCTCGACCGGTCAAGAGACTCCAATATCTCCTCCAAAAGTTGATGCGTCCATGATTCCAACTTTTCTGAAGGACGCCAGAGATGACAAGAAGTCGGCCATTCCAGCGATTTTTTCGAAAATAATTTCTGATGAAAGAGTCTCACCGTCTGCGACATGGTTGCAGTTGCCTTCCAAGGATCGTCAAGGAGGTCCAGCTACAGCAGATGCTTTCGGATCTTTCGAAGAAGCTTATAACTCCCCACCGGAAACCAACGAGAGTAGCCCGTTCGTCTCTGCTTTGTCGTCACTGTTGAAGGGGCAAGGAACGCCGCCACTACCGGCAGCTGGGATAAATGTTGAGACGAAACCTCACAGGGAGTGGTCAGAAAACATACAAAGGCTTATCTCCCTGGCGAAATCGAAGAAGTATCTTGCAGCGTCCCCTGCCGCGGCAGAGAAAACCATTCGTCATTCTCCGAAATCAAGTGTCCCGGAATTCGTCTCTCTGCCAAGACAAAGATGCTCATCCGCCACTGATCTTCGCGAATCTCATCAGACGACAACGAGAAAAAAGTCGGCTTAAACTCAGTGCCACAAGCATGATGAACTATCAGTCATGATCAGCACTCGAACAATTTTTCTTTTTTTGTATCTTATGGATTTGCAATTGTTTCATTAATTACATATTTTTTTCTGTCACATTCTTGTCAGTTATTTTTTTATTCGTGTTTCTCAAGCGCCTTGCATTAAAAACCAAAAAACAAAAAAACACCAGTATCGATGATGACTCGTTCGTTTTACCTAACGTGATACCTGTGTTGGGAAATACTTGTATTTATTTGTACTTTATTTGAAGTACATTCTCCGAGTATGTACTTGTACTTAAAGTATTTTTTGTGGTACTTTCCGAGGAAAGTACAATTCCCGACTTCAAAGTATATTCCCCAAATTTGATTTCGTTAAATTTTTATCACGATATGAATCTTTGTCAACTCCAAAGAAATAGAGGGAGGGATATTCTACTCTCACCAGAAACGCGAGCAGATAACGCATTGCTCCGTTTGTTCTGGGGGCGACTTTCCCGTACCTTTTTGAACTCTCGCTACTTCTCGGCCGGTCAGCGCAAGTGAGAAGGTTTAAAATATTAAGCCAGCATAATTAGTCATAATGTAGCACCTGAGACTGCGGTGCAAAAAAAAAAAAAAAAAAAAAAAAAAATTAAACTTTCAAGTGAAGAAAAACAACAACAGAGGAGAACGTCCCAATATTTTGCGACTTTACCTTTTGTCTTTTACTTCGGTTTGAGAGTTCCTTAATTTTTTGGCACCCCAATCTCAGGTGTCACATTATGATTAATTCTCACCAGCTCACTTGCATACGCACTGTTTTTTTTTTTTGTTTTTTTGTTTTCTTTAAGGAGAGGACAGTCCTCTATGAGAGGATTGCTTGCGTAAGCTACGAGGATGACGTCATGCTCTCTTCTAGTACATTTAACCCCCTAGGGTGCAACGATCCAGTGCAAACGGCGCCAAATTCAGAAGAGGGACTTCTGAATTTGGTTCCATTCCTGAAATAACTACTCTGTGGCCACTTGACTTTATCAAATATTCGCCGCTATTTTTAAAAATAGGTAATGCATCCCTGATTACTCCTGGGCAATGCATACCAGGTAAAAAAATCACTTTATAGGAAAATGAAAGGATATTTACTTTGAAACTGCATTGTACTTACGGTACTTTACTTCAAGTACACTGCACCCAGTGTACTTACTACTTCACTTGAAGTACATCACGTCTCATTTACTTCGTACTTTACTTGAAGTACCTTTTAGATGTACTTTACCCATCACTGCGTGTTATCTAATGTTACCAGCCTCTGAATGTCGCGCTCGAAGGGCACGGTCTCACGAGCGGCGAAACGAAACTGAAACCATGAAACGTGATAACCATCCGTGAGTGTCGCTGCAATCGTTTCTCATAGTTGTCAACCGCAATTCTCTCGCGGAGAGTCGTTGAGAGAAGAAGCGACAAGGCTTCCCTCTTCTAGGGAAGATGGCTGATCCTCAATTCGAGGCATTTAAACTCATCTTTGACAAGATGCCTCAACATATCAAGGCTCCCACGGACTGTTACAGGTAGGCCTTTCAAAACCCGCTGCGTCCGTCGACCCGTCTTGTTTTGCTCGCCCTTTTAATTGCTTGAATTCGGTTCGGGAAGGTCATGCGTTCTCTTGGGGAACGGTGCGCGATTTCGCTTTCCGTTTTAATTGGCTGCTGGTGTTTGTCGCGGTCATTTGATTTATCCGTGTACCCAAGGCCGGTTTATACCGCTGTAGTGATGTCCCGGCGGCTTGGGCGGTATTTCGGGCTCGACACTTGGAGCTAAGGTCGTCCCAGAACATCATCCTCTTAGATTTTCCTGTCACTCGGCGATGTTCGTGAACGGAGACATTCGCCTACGTGCGCTCGTTACGTTAACAACAATATTAGTGTGGGTCATTTAAAATTTACAGTAAAGTGCTTAAAGGTGACGACCGTTATCTCGGTTGTCTCTAAGCGGAGGTGCGTTCGAGCGTGCGCTGCGACGCCCAAAAATTCCGTTTGGGGCAAGGGGGCGAGGAGGGAGATATTGACACCATATTTTTTTTTTTGCCCTGTCTTCTTTTACCTCCTAGTGACATGAGGTACGGTACGTGTGAGTTATTAGCGCTGTCAGACGAGTGATCAGTTCGTTTCCTTTGCTTATTTATTATATACACGCAGTCGGCGGAGTGTCTCCGGAATGTTGGCTATTTCCGTACTACAGCGCGTTGGAATGCACGAGGACAAGATGTACGGACAAATTTCATTCATACTTGCTATAAAAATAAAACGAACATTCCGCGGGACGCGCGTCCTTCATGACGTGATAGTAGGATATAATATGGCATCTTGATATCGTTTTTGATGTACAAACCTGTCTAAATTTGCATGCATTCATCTCAAACCTGTATACATAAACACCACCACTATCATGTATTACCTCTATTAACACACACCTGGGAAGGCAACCAGCACTTGGTTGTACGGTCTCGACTTCTGCTTATTAGCTGCCTCAGGCTCTCGGATGTTTTAGGGGCGAAGCTCCTTAGTGTCTAGCCTGGTCCGTCCATCCGTCCGGCCGGCGTTCGTGCTCACATAAAAAGAAAAAAAAAATGTTTGCGCAGTCGACAGGATTTGAACCTGTGCGGGGAGACCCTAATGGATTTCTAGACCGCCTTAACCACTCGGCCATGTCTGCAGGACGAGTAGGGGGCTCTGAGATGTGGTAGTAACTCAAGAGCTGGGGTTTCTGTCATGGATGAAACGTCAACATCTATACAGGAGAGAGCACTGCGGTCAAATGCGTATATAATCGCGTTAAACTTTGCATGCATTGGCTCAACGTTTATAGACGAGAGGCCGCTGCGGTCAAATGCTTAAATGCGTATAAAACCACGTTCCATACCACACATTCTCATACTGACATGGACCATTGACTTAAGCGGTGGAGATGCATTTCCACGGCTTTTAGTGGATCCAAGCTGATCCGCTAGAACCACTGGCTCTGCATTTCACCGACCATAAAGCAGTAATGAAGTTGAAACGCAACCCGGAACTTAACACTACCTATGAGCAATAAAAAAAAAAAAATCAGCACCATCAGCACTACCTATAAACAATAAAAGCAGTATCATCAGCACCACCAGAGCTTCGCCCCAATCAACATCATTCACCACGTGGAGATGCGGTCATTTTTTATTATTAATTTATTTTTCAGCGAACGCCCTTACCCATCAATGTTCCATCATTGCCACTGCTGCCTTTCATAGCTAACCGACGTCACTATGCTGGTTAAGTGTCCTTTTACGCAAATTTGTTGGGAAAAGTTGACTTCCTTTTAAGCGCCACTTCATTCAACTCTGTATTCTTAAAAAAAAAAAAAAAGAAAGAAAAAGAAATAGATGACCATTATGTAAATGCTGGAACGCCCCAGTGTTGCTGCTGTGAAAGATTGGACAAGTAAAAATTATCTTGCTCATGGCATCCTTGTGGAGTATCATCTGAGCATAACAGTTTATAGAAATCTTGCAAGGTGACACTGCGGCAAGCATCATTTCCATGTCGTGTATGCATGGCTACGTCTGCTACAGTAGAAATGTACGGAGACATTCTATTATGGGATGGTGGATTTCCCCATCTAGAGTTTTATTCCTATACTATTTTGAGTTTTCGTGTTTATTGACATTTATTTCTCTTCCCGCGGCACAATTTTCTTCGGTTGGTTGCCTTTTTTTTTTTCTGCTTGTTTTCCTTTTTAGTTTCCTGTCACGACATGCAGTGCAGTGACCCATCGGTACTTGATGGTGAGAATTTCTACCCTTGTTTTCTTTGGTTTGCCAATTCTAAACTTTCATAATTTGTTTGGGCCTTTCTAGGTTATGATTATAATGCAATTAAATGCAAAGGTGCAATGGAGCTAGACAAGAATGACGAAACTAATCCCTGGAGAAAAGGAACAAGTGGGACAAAGGACAAACACAGGGATTAGTTAAACTTGAGGAAGAAAACGAGAAAGGATGGACAAATACAAACTTCCAACTGGCAACAACATTGAATGACACCAAGAGTTTGCTTATATACAGGAAAAAAGGGGGGGGGGGGTGAAAAAAGGGGTGGGGAGGAGGAGCACTATGCCGCGTCATGATTGGAAAGACGTTGGATGCCAAGTCCTGGAGAATGCCAAAGGATAAATAGCAGTCTCTGATTTTGAAAACCAGGGCTGGGCAGTACTGTGATACAAACGGTGTTGGGTAAAGTACATCTAAAAAGTACTTGAAGCAAAGCTCAAAGTAAATGAGAGGTTATGTACTTCAAGTAAAGTAGTAAGTACACTGGGTGGCAGTGTACTTGAAGTAAGATACTATAAATACAGTGTACTTTCAAAGTAAAATACGAGGTACTTTTAACACAATCTTTCATGATGCTTTTTCATTCCCCTTTATTTATTTTTAAACGGTCTGCATTGTCATAGGGGTAATTGGGGGTGCATCAGTTATTTTCGGAAATGGCGGCAAATATTAAATAAAGTCAAGTGGCTTCTGAGTTGGCAAAACATCATTTTATGATACAAATTTAACAAGGCCAAATTTGGGGAATGTACTTTAAAGTCAGGAGTTGTACTTTCCTTGGAAAGTACAAAAAAAAAATACTTAGTACAAGTACATACTTGGAGGATTTACTTAAGTAAAGTACAGGTATTCTAAACCTCTTTGAAGTAGTACTTTAAGTATGATGTACTTAAGGTAGTTCCGAACACTAAATACAAATGTATTGCAATAGTATCTTAAAGATATTTTTGAGCATCTCTTTATCAAGATTCATTTTAATGACATATATGTGTCTCTGTAGTGAAATACATTTATAATGTGTTGATTGTGTTGTAATACCCTCGCAGACTTAAGTATTTTATTATATTTGTTGTAAAAAATTGACTGTTGTGTTTCTACGATGAACTGAAAACCAGAGGCCGGATTCCTGAAACTTTTTTACGACAAAAAAGTTTGTAAATTTAGCTTACAACATGGTTACAAACTTTTGAGTATTCCTGAAGTGAAATGTTTGTACATTTTGCTTAAGTTATGGATTTCGTCGTAACTTACGCAAAAGTTATGAACATTTTGCTTTGGGAATACTCAAAACTTGTTAACTTCGTCGCAACATAAATTTACAAACTTTTTTGTTGTAAGAAAGTTGTGGGAATCTGGCCTTTGATTTTTTACTGAACCTACTGCTAAATCTACAGAGAAAAGCCTGAAAAAACAAAAAACAAAATCAACAAAGAAAAGGTGGTTCTAAGGAAGGTTACTTGCACAGGGTGTCTAGTGACCGGGAAAACCGGGAATTGTCAGGGAAATTTTAATTACCGGGAAAAACCAGGGAATTGTCAGGGGTATTGTCAAAAAGCGAGCACAGTCAGGGAAAATGAGCCAGAGACAACATCAAGTGCCCTCAGCAAAGACTTGAGGACTTGGGGGCAGAAAAATTGGCAATAAATTCTGCTTAGAGCGGAGGGCGGGCTCTGCTCACCCAATGTAGTGTGTGCTACCCAATGCAAAGGGAACAGACGACAAATCCAGTCCAAGCCTTGGATTGGATTGAGGCACTAGGCTAGATCCAGTTAGAGCTACTAGATTTAGTAACAAATGGAAACACCACAAACCCCAATCTAATCCAAGCCTTAAGTTGAAACTTATCGAAGGTGTGCATCTGGCGGCCATGCTGCCATTCCGTTATTGACGTGTGTGGTTGAGCGTCGTGTTTCCATCGTGTTTCCGGAAGTGACCTCTTCACTGACGATGTCGGTGGGAAGAAAGTGCGCATTTAATCACGACTGCGCGAACCCGGATATTTTGGAATTTGCAAGTTGGAATAAGCCCGTGCAAAATGATCCTCATAGTGCTCAATGCCTTGTGTTGTAATGGTCTTAAAATGTTTAACCGTAATTGTCAAAGGAAACCTGAAAAAGTCAAGGAATTTCAAAATGATAATTTGCTGGACACCCTGCTTGCAAGAATAGCAGGATAAGCTTCTCCCCTAAGCCCTCCACTCTTTCCACTCTAACATAACGAGTGCTGGAAATGAGGTGAGAAGTCGAGAGGAAACCACCAAACATTTTCCTTATATGTTGTAACAAGTGGCATGCAGACAGGTTCAGCTCTGCTATCCCTACGCTGGGTGACTCGGAGTCACTGAAAACTACAGTTTGAGACATATCCTCGCAGCAAAACAGGGTTCATTTTGAGCAGACACCTTTTGTCAAGCATGGCAGGCAGTTGCTCCAGTGTCTATCTGGGTCACTGGGGGCAATCATGTTTTTTTTTTTGTTTTTTTTAGCAGCATGGCAGCAAATCGGTGAAGAGTTTGATGTAAGGGGAGGTGTATGAACTGCCACAAAGAGAGGAACACAAGCAATACCATTTGCTTTTTCCAGGAACTGTACACCGTTTGCATCTACCCCCATTTGAGAAAATATTTATTTCCAGATGTATTTCGGAATCTGTATCTGTATTCTGGATACTTTTTTTTGACGATTACACGTAAATATTTAGGAATATCCCGTTACATAAAAGACAAGTGTTCCTCAATGTATGTATTTTTGCGTTGAAATGCATATATCTCAGCATTTGTATTCTCGATTACTTTATGGAGTATCTCTGCCCAGCCTTGTTAAAAAGTGAGGACATTTGTAAAGTCAGGTTGTGAAATTATCTTCAGCAGGGCTGAAGATATCTCTTTGTGCAAATGCATCACTTGGAGAGGTAACAATTCCATCTGCAGTAACTTTGGGGAAGGAGATAACCGACTATAGGAACAAAAACAATGTTTGGGTGTGACTCAATAAAGAGTCGTTAGTGTTGGAACCCCTGTCTGTCTCCATGGGGTAAGAAAAAAAAGAAAACAATGAATATAATAAGTCTAGGGCGACCTTGAAGACAATGGCTTTTTTGTTGTGACCTCATTGAGCTCTTCTGACGTGCAGGATAGCTCATGACATCGAGCTGATTTCTGTGGAAGACATGAACAAACAATCTGTCGTCACGCCAGTCGAAGACTGTCGTCTGCCGTCACCTGTAGCTGACAACGAGCTGGTAATTTCGGTCAATCATGCCTGTGAGGTAAAATATCTTTGTGTGCTCACTTTTTTTCTCTTTTAAACAGTGTTGCTTATTATAAGTCAGCTGTCCATGATTTGGTGGTACAAAATTAGAACTGAAAATGTTCTGGGAACTTTATGGCAACATTCTACAACCCAGCAATATGATGCCTGTAGCATAAGTTTAGGGTTGCTGAAACCTTAGCCCCAAATGACCTCTTATTTATCAAGGCATTAAGGTGTTACATGACTGGGAGTCAGTTGCCATGTTTAATAAACCTTTTACCTAGTTTGAAACATACATAGTCAACATGCACAAGAAAATACTATTACATTCTGTAATCAGGTTTGTTACATCCGCCCCAGATATTCTTCAGGTTATCTTTCATTGACAAAGAATTTTATTTTGTACAAGTTGGAGGACCAATTTTTGCAGATACAGGTGCATCTTCAAAACAAGAGACATTCTGGAATCTCTCCTTTCTTTTTTTTTTGTGATTGTGAACATCCCAGAACAATCTTTTGTATGTGAATGTATTGGGGACAGAGTTGATATGTGAATTTTTGGTTCAGTTGGTCATCTCTGATGGCTCTGCTCGATTGATATCCACTCCTCAAAAACTAAACTCTGATGTTTTGCTTCCCCACCTGACATGTGTGTTCAGTGGGGAAGTGTGCTTGGAGGTTTTGTCTGGATAGCTTATTTACTATTTATTTATTTTCTTTTGCTTTAGCAATATCACTTTGGTATACTTTATCATAGAACTGTTATTTCTTCAGAAATTGTTGTGAGAGTAGCAAAGCCAAGAAAATATTTGACGAAATTGTAGTGAAAAGGATTATTAAAGACATGCAGAATTTAAGGAGATCACTGGGGATAATCAGACCTTGAATTTTACTATACATGTGCCATGTACATGCATATTTTTTTTTTTTTAGTAAAGGGTTCCTTTCTACATTGGTTCAGTTGTTCGAAAGTTTTGTGCTGCCGTTTTTGTGCACCAGATGATGAAGGAGCTCACGACAAGCACAAAGGTTGACAGGCGACGGAGAAAGCTTCCAGCGATTCCAGCTAACAAGAAACGTACGTGCAGAGGTTCTCGCCCAATGACAAGCCCTGCTTTCGGTTTGCCCTGACGATCTACATATTGGATTGAGGGTCTATAGCTAGTTTCAATTTATGTCGTGGTTTGTGGGTGTTTTTATTTCAAACTGCTGTCACTTGACATGGCATTCACAATAAAAATAATTAAAAAAAATAGATGACTAATGAGACCCATGCACAGGGGCGGATCCAGGACTCTGTTTTGGGGGGGGGGGGGGGGGGGGGAAGGGGAAGGGCGGGGGTCGGGGGCAGGGGCAGGTGGGCGGGCGGGAGGGTGGGTGGGTGGGTGGCGGCGATGGCAGCGGCGGCGGCCACCCCCATCGCTTCCCTCCTTGGATCTGCCCCTGCCCATGCAATGAGTAACCTTGCATCCACAATATAACAGTAGTACTTTTGAATGTCTATTTTTACTTCTTCCTAAGTTATATTGTTTTTCAAGAATCAATGCTGCTCTTATCTACAGCAATTATTGGGTGTGAAAGATTTTCTGAATAGTAGATGGAACTGCAGTTTGTAGAGCTTCACTAGCAGAGCTTTGAAGTAACAGTGGTTTTGGCTATTGTAATTGGTTGTAATGTTTGCAACTTAATTCTTACTAAGTTGTAAACCCAATCTTCAGTGCAACATTGATGTGTTTATTGAGTAATTTGTAGCTGCTCAAAATGAATGCCTGTAGGGCAGGTGTTTATTTGCCTCATATGTCACTTTAAACTTTCAGTACAACATCTCTTAACAGGAAACTGTAATACAAAATAAAAAATTTACAAGAATCGCTTTACAGCAACTCAAAAATGTTAAAATTATGTTGGGTGTGCAGGTTTCTTATTTATAGCAGTCTTTTTATCATGGAAAACCTGAAAGAAGCACCTTGTAATTTCTCTCTGCTGTTTTTGTGCCCGTGAACTTTCTGGAGCGAGTTTTGCATGAGGAAACCACACTGCTTGTTCTGCCTTAAAAAAATCCTGATGTTTGTGTCTTACCAACTAGTGTTGTATGCATGTATTTCATTCAAAAACAGTTTTAGGCAACTTCATATTTCATTTAGAATGTATTTCCTCTCTTTCTATCTAAACCTTACTGGTGCAGTTTGGTCCTATAGAAAACAGCTTTATTCCAGAAGTACACTTAGCTCAGATTCGTTCGTCAACTTTTCATTTGCTCTTTTCTTTTTTTTTCTTTTTTTTTTTTGCTGCAGTAGTTTGTTTTGTGTATTTTTACTGTAGCTTGTTAAATGTCAAACTATGGCTCTCCCTTTTTCTATTTTGTGACTAGCTCTAGGCAAGCTCTCCCGGCATGCCGGCTCACTAGCAGAAGAGATCAGGGCCACGGAGCAGGACACTCCACCCTGTGCTTCCGAATCTGCTCCGACCAAATTGATCCGGCAGGTGTCGGACAGGCTATACCTTGAGATCGACACCTCTGGATCCCAGCCCAAGTCGTGCCTCAGGTAACATGGCCCACTGGAAGTTGTCATGAGCCAAATATAATTTGTTGACGCGTGTTCATCGGAAACCAGGTGAATCCAAGAATTTGCTAAAACAAAAAAAGCGTGCAAACTACACAATTTCAGAAATGGATACACTGCTCTACGAAACACTGGCTGTGTTGTCATAACTGTTATCAACACTTGGGACTATGAAATGCTCTCTCCGTTTGTCATCTCTGTCCCTGAAGTACGCTCCGCGGCAATCAGAAGGAAGCTGACACTCTTTGGTAAGGCCACGCTCGGTTCACATTCGCTGCGCTGCGGTGTTTCATGCTGACTTTCTAACTACCACATTAGTTCCTTTCCACTCTCCCTGTGTCTAGAGATGCCAAGTAATTCACCTGTAACTTGCATCTCGTCAGAGTTTCCATTGATTACGCAGTCACCTATCTTCTTTTTGGTTCACAGAATGTGTGCATATTGCTAGGTTTTCATTAGAAATGTCTCAAGAACAGTGTATTGCAGGAATGCAAAGCGGAAGTGTAAAGCAAAAGTGTAACACACTAAATTTAGCAGACTAAGGTCCCACTGGATTTACTTAAATTGAATTGATGTACAATTACACACCAATTCGTGTTTGTTTCGCTAACTTTAGTGGGTCAACGCTTCTTGCTGAATTTAACAGGACATAAGTCCACTAAACTTATATGAATTTGGTTTGATTCCTGAGCTCAGAAAAGCCCATAGCTGAACACACAGCACAGATCAAAACGAGCTGCAGATTCTGTGTCTTCTGTTTTTTTTTTGCGTTGGTTAAGACGTGTGTGCACTTTCATGTGTATGCACGAGGGGCTTGAGAAATGCTGTTTCTCGCTAGCAAAGCAGATCTCATAAGAAAATGGAATTCCTATGCATTCTTCTGAGAATATAGTACTGTCTTCATATGTGTTTACAGTTGTATTCAGACCCCTTGTAAACAAGATGAGTTGAAAAGGCCCGCTTAAATATGGCTCGATTTCTCGGGCCTACAAATACACCGTTTAACTGTGACTGAGGATGGAACTGGCCCGGCTTCGGTTCGGCATAGCATGACAAGCAACTAACGCCAGTGAGCTAATTAGAGTAATCAGAGCAAGCCACATGACCGCGTTTCACAGGGGTATATTTTTACCCCTTTCATTTATTTTAAATGGTTTAAGTCTGCAATGATAATGCGGGAGCAGATGGAGGCACTTTGTTTTTCATTCTTTTACTTGCCTCATCTCAAAATCTAAATTGTCCCACAATCAGTGTCTTTTATGGGGCCTGGTATACAATGCGATGCAACAAACGCTTGGAGCGTCATCTGGCTGGCACAGTGCTCGGTAAATCCACTCAATTTTTTCACGGTCATTGCCGCCTGCGATGAGCAATGGAACTCTTCTCCAGCAGTTAACCCGCACATACAAAGCGAGGCTGTAAGGAAAACCAAAGTCGTGTTTATGAAATCTGTACCTTCTGTTGCCTTCGATTTGCACTTGTTCCGGATTTTGCAGGGTGTTTGATTTGCATAACGGTTTAGGGTTGCAAATCATTTGGAAACGCATACTTTGGCTCCTGGTATCTGTAACAGTCAACTTTTTATTTATTTTTCTGTGGCATTCTTTCAAGGACGCATGCATTTTGTAAACATGAGCAGCAACATTGGCTCTTGCAGTTGAATGAATTGTTCGAATGATCGATATGAGCAGAATGTTTTTTTGACGCTCTATTAATCTTGGAATGTTAGGTGTTTGGAAGCTTTTGAACTTGCAAATGCACAACCACTCTTGAAATGAAAGTTTTACATTTGACGAGAAGTTGAATGTCTCGCGAATTACGTGGGTCTGTGGTTCTCTCGGCGGGTTGCCGCGCGAAGGGCACGACGCCTCTGGCTCATAACGTACTGACCCGAAAAATGTGTATGTTTGTATGAAAGAGAAGTGAGTATATCACACTTGTGACCTCATTGCGTGACGAGTGGAGCACATGATTGCTACAAAGCCAATACATTTGGTTGCTAAGCAATGCCTACATACGTTTTTATTTGTTAAGAAATATGGGAAACCGCACCGACTCCCGCGCCAACGTTAGGTGTGACAACTAAGTTTGACACTAGGGAAAGATTTCATGTACCACGGCATACACCAATAGATAACACAATCCTTGACTAGCTCTGTACCTTCGCATATTGACATGTGTGTTTTATTCTCATATTTCCTGTTAAATCACTAAAGATGCACCATCCCCGAAAGATAACCCGCCCCCTATTTTTTACAGAATTTGTTATTCTTTCGAAAAACATCTGAAGATAGTCAATTTCTAGTAATTGCAGGCCCCCTGTGGTCAACCGAAACCTCGGCGGAAACGGTGTTACTCAGCCACGGTGGACATACACACAAACATCGCTGACTGGAAAGGACAGTCGTTTTTGGTACATCACCCCTCCCAGCAATCACAACTTTTGCAGATCACAAAATTTAAAACAAACATTCTTTCAACTTTTTTCTTCTTTGCACATTGAAAGTTAGTTTGTTTTTTTAGTTTCTCTCAATATGCTTTCAATTTAAGGGGGCTGTCTCTCGGGGTATTACGGTGGCTAGTCTGAAAGGTCATGTGTCAGAAAATTACCCAAATCCATCGAAGACCTTTTTTGGCTGGTTCACAGATTTGCATTTGAGTGTGACTGAGTTTGTCATGAGCTACTTCTGTTCTCTCGTCATGAGCAATCGCTCAAATCGCTCGTGCCCAAAAATAAATATGTGCACCATCGTTTAGCCACAACGACGTCCACTCTTTGACGGTCCCCGCTGTATAGGTACGGCGGCAAGCAGGCATTTGAAAGCGTCACTATCTGTCACGCCTTTAGTAGGCTAAAATGTTATATTCGCACGGCGTTTGCTTTGCTGGGGATATTTATAGTTTGAAATTAGACACAATAGTCAGTGCAGGTGATACATGCGCCAGATGGTCGCTTGGTATGTTGGCTGCTCTGGCGGTGGTGGCGATTGGAGAGCCAGCTCACCCGATTCGGACTCGAGATTTTAACTCGGAGGACAACAGTTTATCTTTTGTCGGGGAACCTCCGTAAAGTACCTCCAATTTGGAGTTTGAAACTGCCAAAATGTCGCAGAAGCGGCCTCGCCGAAATGAGACCGAACGAGAGAAAGCTGACAATTGTTTGCCTTCAGTATTTTTGTTTGATGCTTCTAAACTTGGACAGCTTGTTGGCATTGCCCCTTTTTTATACTATTCCTTTGGAAACATATCCCGACCAATGGGGAGCATATTTTAGAAAAAAAAAAAACTCGACCTTCAAAGGGTTGAGGGGCGGTGCAACCATTTTCGGACCTTGATCGATTAGTTGTGGAAATTAGTCTTTGTCACCTATAAAATAAGGAGAAGAAAATCTTTTTTGCATGTGCTACTTTAAAATGAAATATTCAGACGAATCGAAGGTCGGGGTATCCCGTCAACCTGCATTCCCTTTGAATGAGGCGCGCGTGGACGTTGCTCGGAGTACCTTGTTAGGTTCTGTCTTTGAAGCCCCTAGTCCTCCCTCCACAGTTGTCAACTTTTCAAGGTTCAGTTTGGCCATAACAAAGCACTGCACCGGCTTAGCATAGTCAAGGTGGCAGCGAGCGATCGAGACAAAAGTCGGTTTGCCACGGTGACGATGAGGAGGGCGGCGGCAGAGAGGAAATGATTTTGTAAACTTCCATTAGATGGAGCCACAAAAACTTGCATACTCACAGTCGCGGTATTTCGAGGGAAAGTGGCACGTTTTTTCTCGCTTGTGCCAAGGTAAACAATATAAATAATGCAAGCTGCAAATTCTTTCGACGTATCATTGCACTGTGTATTTTCTTCGAGGTTCTCGGTTCGCCTCAAAATTGTCCAAACAAACCGACAAACATTGTTGAAGTAAAAGGCCAAATATTAGGCCAAAATTGATATATTTTTTATTCTAAGATGTTACTGGGGGGTTTACACTTTTGATCCTTACTGCTTTTTTTTTTTTTTTCAAGCTAAAAGTTTATTGGTGACAACGATGAAGTGATGCTAGTGGCAGACATGGGTTTACTTTCTGGCCAGTAGAATTTCTCCCCAACCGATTACAAGGAGTTTGATGGTGTGAAATGTACACTTTGAAAGTTCACTGCAGCACCTGCTCAGCAGCACAAAACAAATGAAGGGCATACCCTGTTTTTTAGACTGCCTGTTCGACCTGCGAGCCTGCCTGCCGGTGACGTCGTGGCACCGAAAACCGCAGGCATATTTGAATGTTGGTTTCAGCATCATTTTCATTTGCCGATTTCACATTAACTATTCTGAATTTTGCTGTACTAAATTGCATGCCCAACTGCATTATTCAGAAAATACATGTATAGGTGGGGTAGCCCAAAAAATCACCGGAGCACCCGTTTAACCCGTTGTTGGTCAAGATTTTTTTTTCCGAAAGATGTTTCCCAGGGGTTAGTCTTTATTTCCAAAGGAATAGCATAAAAAAAAAAGGTCAACATGCAGGTTTTCTTTTAATCATCTAGCGGTAGTACTGTATTTTCGCGATTCTAAGCACCCCCCGATTCTAAGCATCCCCCCCACTTTCAAACATAACCACCTGAAAAAAAAGTTTGCATGCGAATGTAAGCACCCCCCTACCAACAAGAAATCTGAGATCGGAGACGCTGGTATCGCCGAGCACCAGAGTCTTGAACGGCCGCTGGCGCTTGGTTTCAACGTCAGTTAATAGATGGCAGCACATACCGCCATTTCCACTTTCGCATCCGTGCAAGTTGCGAAAGAGCGTGCGTTGCCGTACCCTCTATCGAAGATGGTTTGTCTGTTTGGTCTCCTTGCGCTCGTTGCAGTCGGTTGTTTAGTCTGTTAAGCCTATTTATCCGCGTTGGCCTCGCAATCATATTCCGTTCACTGTGTGCACGTGGTATGCGGAAGTCGTCCATCATGAGTGCGAAGAGAACTTCATACACGATGAAGTTCAAGAGAACGGTTATTTCTTACACAAAAGGCAACGGAAATCACAGCGCTGCTGAACAGTTCGGAGTGCGGCATTCCTCGCAAGCCGTGGCTGGGTGGAGTGGATGATGAAGAGGAACGGTATCTCTTTGAGACGCCACACCACTATCTGCCAGAAGCTACCGGTGGACTTCGAGGACAAGCTTGTCAACTTCCAACGTTATGTGATGAAGCTGCGTCGCAAATCTCGCTACGGACTCAGTGTAGAGCGGCAATGCCGATGAGACCCCTGTGTACATCGACATGCCAAGGACGTGTACCGTGAACGAAGTAGGCGCCCGAGAAGTAAAAGTGCGTACGACTGGCTATGAGAAGCAAAGGGTGACCGTAATGCTGTGCATCACAGCTGACTGTCCGAAACTTGCGCCCTACATCATCCTCAAAATACTAGTCACGAGAGCGACTAGTCGACCGTGGTGCACACTTATGGCAAGTGGGCTATACTGTCCAGTCTTTACTTTATTTATTTCCTTGAGAACATTTATTCTTTCATTTTGATTATAATAAATTCATATTTCTCGTGCAAACTTCGTATTTTCGGGGCATGTTCTGAATCTAAGCCCCCCCCCCCCCTCTCTCTTTGAACATCGCGGGTGAGAAAAAAGGGCGTGCTTAGAATCAAGTAAATACACAGTGCTTGCAAGCTGTTCAGGTTTAGAAGCATCAAATGAAAACATTGAAGGCGAAAAGTTGTCACCTTTCACCTATTTGGTTTCATTTTGGCGGGTTCACTTCCGCAACCTTCCGGCGGTTTCAGATTCTGAACTGGAGGTACTTTACGGAGCTTGTCCGCCGGACGGCAAGCTCTCGATCCTCTCAATTCAATTCTAAGAAGCATTAAAAATCTGAATTGGAAGAGCCTGCGCTCCAGTTGCCATGAGTGCCAGAGCGGCCTCACATGCGAGGCGACCCTCTCGTTGGTATCACCTGCACAGAGCATCTAATCTTGGAGCTATAGATAGCCCCCCAAAAAACAAACCACGGTGCAAATACAAGGTTTATGCTTTGCCAAAGACAACGTCTCTCGCAGTGCGTGCAATTTCGCGTTATGGCGGATTTCTTCAAATGTGTAGTCACCGCCGCACATGACGGCTGTCGTAGACATGAGCGTTTGTGGACGCTTTCCCCTCTGCCAACGCTTTCCGACTGCTCGGTGCAGGCTGTACGACAAGTCCCAGGGCAGCGGGTGCCACTCGGGGGGCAGCCTGAGTCCCGAGGAGTCCCGGTCGAGGCTGAGCCTGGACACGGGCGTGGACAGTGGCAACTCCACCGCACACTCCCCGGACGGAGCCAAGTCCCTGTCGCCCGTTGGCAACGGTCGGTTCCCGGCACCGCTCGATCTGCTCTTGCCCCCGACGAAACATAACATACCGCGATTAGAATAAATTAAAACAATGTAAAGAGAACTTGTGTAAATAAGCCAATAAGCTGAGTGCAATTAAAATTTTTCACAAAGGTGTCTTCAGGTGGTGCTCTTATCATACCCAAATTTTGTGTGTGTAGGTTTGTGGAGAAAAAAACATGAGAAAAGAAAATCATGTTTTTTATCTTTAACGTGGGAACCAAAGGGAAGCAAACCACATGGTATGAAAACTTGGAAACTTCTGACAAATGAACACCCTGAAAAAGATACAGTAAATCCAAGTGTGTGTTGTATGATTTGTGAATGTGACCTGCCAAACTGTTACTTTCCTTTTTCTCCAGTTGCGCAGGCAACCAAGTTTTTGTTTTCCCACAATTTTTTTTCCGAAAAACCTACACTCTCAAAATTTGAATACAGTCAATGCACCACCCATAAAGGCACCTTTGTGAAAAGTTTAATTGCACTCCGTTCATTGTCTTATTTATACAACTTTCTAGGCGCCCAAATGGCGCTCGAGAAACACCCTGTGGAAGACACATGCAAACACAGTGCTGACTGTTGACTGTCATTGTCTTTTGCAACTAATTATGTCAACATAAAAAGTAAAACAAAGAAACGGAGAGAATGAAGCAGGCCATATTCATCAAACCCAACCAAGCAACATAGAAAAGAAATGTGCCAGTCTGATTCATGCACGTAGTTTCACCGTCAGAAAGAGTATTATTGTGTTGTTTTTTTTTTTTTTTCTCATGTGTCGATTTCTTCAACTACACAGCTTGTTAGCATACCATATTTTTCTGAGTATATAGTAGTTCACGTCCTGTATGTGGTCCGCGGTATTAAATCTTAGCTGAAAAGAAGTGTTCTTTTTTTTAGCTAGCTTGCGCCTGGTGCATAGGGTGTACTATAGGCTTTTGAGGCATTACGCTTGTTAAAGGAGGTCAGTCTTTTGTTTCTTGGAAACCAGCACTGCATGCTGAATAATATCATATTGCTTATAACGAGGGAAGGAAAGAAAGGAAATTTGAAAGTTGTTGCATCGAACGAGGGAGATTTACTAAGCACAATGAAGCCTTTGTAGCCGAGGCACTACCGGTGCGCTCATAGTTGGATGGAAATAACTGGGCAGCTGAATATTGCATGAATTCTATTATTGAGGCAAGCCCGATAAGGAGACTATGCTGGAAAATCCTGTAAGGCTGCCCACCCGAAATGAGGGGATATATGGTGAAAAACACGAGGTGGGTTATCTATGGTAACAAGCAGCACAACTCATTTTATGATAAACCCGGGGGCATCCACTAGAAACTACATGACACAGGAACCAATATCGTGGACACAGCAAATTCGCTTTCCACGACGCGATGAACACGGGAATCCACTTTGAATTCCCGTGTCACGGGATCGGATAGCGCAGACTGCAGATGCACCAGATTCACATCTCATGGTGTGACAGGGGCGCACAGACCTGCTTCAAACCTGCATGCCACGAGAATCGACGTCGTGCGTGCAGATCGCGGATAATAATGCGTGAACCCGCTGTGAACTCGCTTGTCACTCATACCGGTACCGCAGGTCACGCGGTTGATGCGTTTCCGGTCGGACACCGTGTGATGTTTGAAGAAAATCGGGGATTGGGTAGCATTTCGTCATTTTTACGTTACAGATATTTAGCCCCCCCCCAAAAAAAACGGGACGAGCGATCTTTCGTGGGAGGGCAATCTCACGGAATTTCACGGTACATAGTCCATTGCAGGTTTAAAACAGTGGGAGAAGCCCCTCCCACGAACCTCTCTGATTGCCCCAATTGGTGGCTTTCTCCTCTTTACCCACCTCCTCTCCAACATTCACTAGTGAAGAGAGCAGAGGGCCTTATCGGGGGAGCTTGTCCTGCCATTCATAACCTGCAGCATATTATAGTTGGTAGTTTTCAACTGTTCCGCTGCATTAGAAAGACTATGCGGAGTGCAAGTTTGTCTGCTTCTTTTGCAGATGTTGTGGTGACGTGGGAAAGTCGAGCTCCGATTGGCTCTGATTGAAGGATAGTGGGTGCACCTAGAGGCAGCTTGCTTTGATGTTTTCCCACTACCCTTCCAATCAGAGCTGATCGGACCTCGGCGTTCCAACATTCGCACAACCCCTGCAAGAGAAACAGATGAGCTTGCGCTTGGCATTGGTTGTTTACATCACCAGGACATGTGACAACGGCAGGGTCATGTAGTGAGAGGGAGAAGGTATCTCGTACGTACGTCAGGCCGGCACTTGCCTCTTTCAAAAGCAGTCGCATCAAAGCCCACACAAAGTCCCGTCGTAAGGTACTGGACATATTTTCATAAATTCTGCAGGGAGCGTGCTGTAAAATAACCGGCATTTTTCCGTCCTTCCCGCAGGGAGCCCACTGTCTGCGAGCAGCCCCAGCTCGACGACGACCACCTCGGGTGGCGGCGTGCTCCAACTCCACGATGCCACCCACCGCGGTCTGCACCGGTTCATCCCCAGGCACAGCGATGAGGTGGCCATAGACATTGGCGACCCCGTGTACGTCAGCAAAGAGGCGGACGACGCCTGGTGCGAGGGTGAGCGTCGCAAGTCGACATCGCTTGTCATCCGCATGCAGCATTCCCCAAACTTAACTGCACCATTTAGGTTCAAAGGTACACCGAAAGGAGACACAGGTGGGACGTTCCAGCGCTCGTCGGCCTATATATGCGAAGAACAAGTCGTCTGCTTCTTGCGCAGAAGTTGCGGTGACGTCAAGACGATGCCGAGCTCTGATTGGCTTTGATTGAAAGGATAGTGGGTAGACCTGAATGCTGGGTGTTTTGAGGTCTATCCACTATTTTTTTTCAATCAGCCAATAAGAGTTTGGCATTCCGACATCATCGCAACCCCCGTGCAAGAAGCAGACGAACTTGCGCTCTGCATAGGTTCAAAGCTAAGTTGTCACGGCATGCACTGAAGTAAGGCGTTTTTCAACCCTCCTTTACTCGCACCTCCCTCAAAACTGCTGCTCGAGTCACGTAACGTCTTAGCCTTTAGTTAAGTTACATTTTTTTTCTTGTGGTGCAGAAACATTTGGAGCAGAGTTTTAGTTAGTTTAATTAAACAGAGTATTTCTTGCTTCAGACACTAGGCTATAGCGGTGGCACCAGAGTAATAGCGTACGTTTAAACAATGCAGCTGCCACTCCCAGGCATACCCAATGTTTCTTTCTTGCTTCGTTAGCTTTACAATATGTGTGAAGGTTTCTAAAAAAAAAAAAAATATTCTCGCAAAAAGTGCAGCCCCCCTCCCCCCCTTTACCGTGTCATTGCGTCAGCATAAGCAAACCTTGCGGCGCCCATGGAACAGAGCAGACGCTGGTCTATAGCTATCCTTGTATTTTCTCTGGCCTTCACGCACTCGTTGGTAATGCAGTGCTACCTCAAAAAGCAGGGGGAGTTGTCTGCTGTGAGGAAGCTTTTAAAGTTAGTGGGCCACAACTACGACGACAGTAGAGCAGTGAGCCACCACGCCCGTATTCCTGTAAATAAAGCCTGCTCCGTTTTCAAAAATAATGATGCAGCTTTACCTGTTCTATCTTAACAGCGCCTTGCTAATCTCTCCGTGAGCATCCATACCGCGGAGCTCACCCTGCTTTGTCATTGTGAAGGGAGGGGAGAGATTCATGCCATTGAACCTCACCGCCCCCCAAAAATAAAATCCTGGCTACGTCACTGGTTATAAGTGGTACATTGTTAGATGTGGTATCGTTGTAAGTGGGTTGCACTGTATACCTGCTCCAAATCTCCCTGCAGTGTGGCAAAAACACAGCCGCTGATAAAGTGCAATCGCTAAGGGGCCAGAACAAGGGACTATAGCACCATAATATGGAACCTGCTTTAAACCATAAGCTTTTAACATTTGCTGTATGATTCTTGCTATTTCTTATCATAATTAATCCATTCCGTTATTTGTATTCCTCACAAACACTAGAAGATTGGCTGGCTTAAAAGCTACGCTAAGGCAGCGAGCATAGTTGCAGATATAGTGGGACAGTGTGCAGGAGGTGAGGGGGAAGAGGGCAGGCACATTCTTCGGAACAAATGGAGAGACGTGAAATAGGAGGGTCAAATCCAGGGTGGGTGACCTCAAATGACAAGAACTTTGTGTCCCACTACCTCTGAAGTGCCACGTCTGGCAGGTCTTTCTTTCACAGACATTACGCACGGCGATGTTTGCACCTTTGAACACAAAATGCATACGAAGTTTATCTGTGTAACATTACTGCGGAGCAACGCACAATACATTCTGTGTTACCACTGCCTTTGCCACAGGAGTGTGGGAAAGAGTCAAATGTTTTGTCTATCTCCTGGAAGTGTCACAAGATTCCCAGCAACTTAGGATCAGAAGCATCCCGTAATATCCCGGCAGATGTCCCACCCCCAAAAGATGATCCACCAATATTTTTGGCATGATATGCTGCTTCTTCAAAAACACAAAAATGGCCCACTTCTATTGTAATATTCGAGCAAGCCCCCCCCCCCCCCCCCCCCCCCTGCTCGCAAGTCAAAATTACCTGCAAAGGGGGGTGAGGGCGGGGCGCTATCCCGGAACGGCACTAAAGTTCAAGATGGCGACTACAAAATTTTTTTGCCAGAAAAAGTAAAATAAGCGCACTGCACAAGGATTTAATATTTTATTTATCTCTGAGAACATAGACTTCATTAGGCCAAAGATTTGTCACTGCTATGTTATGTCATTGCCACCAGAAGACTCCTCAGAGTCAGTCGCAAGAAAAAGTTTGCAGCATTCCGCAATGTTTCCCAACTGCATGCCGTTGGATTTTGACGGCCTCTTCAGAAAAAAGCCGGTTGCTAATGGCTTATTCTGCACTTCTTTCACGCTCCAGGTATTCAAAGAGCACATCGTCCACGTATTCACTGAACACCGGCGCATCGTTACTTGGCTTTCGTCGAAGTTTGGTTTTCCTGTAGTTTGGCTGTAGCAAATTCTCAAAATTCTTGTCCCATTCCCGTATCCGGTCGATCTTGGTGTGTCGAGGCGTCTGGCGTACGCTTGTCCCGTTTTCACAATGCCATTGGACGACCTCGATTTTCTTTGCCACTGTGTAAGAATGCATAGCCAACCTGATACCCCCAAAACAAAGCGACAATGGCGCGTAGCGACCGGGCTGATTGGGCTGCAAAGTAGGATTGTATTGGATTGAATTCTTGGACTGAACTTCGCAGGCCAGTGTTGCCTGGACGTGGTCAGCGCGGTATGTGATACGGGTGCGGAGCGGGGAGGGGGCGCTTTCCCGGTACAGCACGGAAATGTGAAATTAGCAGTGAAGTGTGGGGTGGGGGGCTCTTGCTCGGAATTTTGCGGTAGTGTAATTGCAGGGCCATGGCCATTGGTGACATTGGCAGAAATGGTGTTACTTAGCCATGGCGGGAGATAACCGGACATTCCCGACTGGGAACAACAGTCGTCTTTGGTTCATTGCTTCTCCCAGCGATCGCAAGTTTCGCAGTTCACAGAATCTAAATTTTTCAACCTTACCTTATTTTCAGCCGATTTTCTTTCGATTTTAGATGGGCTATCTCTTGAAATATTACGGTAGTATCGCCATGCCTCTGCCTATGCTTATAAACGTAGCATCAGCCATTCGAGTTCTTCTCTTAGCTGTCTGGCTGTGCTAACAGTACGTATTGCATTTGTGTTATTAAAACACTTTTTTTTTTCTTAACTGCATAAATGCTTTTCTTTTGTGCCACTTTACAGATAGCCCATTTCCCAACCTTGTTTCCAATTCTTTTCTTCCTGTCTCACGTCCTTGTCAACAGACAGCAGCATCTTCTGTGGAGGCACCACAATATATCTTTTTTTACTTCCTGACTGCTCGTAAGGCAGAAGATGCACACATGCAGTTGCAAAAAAGGTGCTGCTACTCCACGAGTTGGAATTCTTAGGAATAATACTAATGAAAAGCTAAACCTCGGTTCATTTTTACGTATAAAGTGTCCACAACGAACCTTTGCACTCTAAAACGAGCCGGAAAAGTCAGTGCCTCCTCATAGGAAGTTCAGACCTTTACCGAATATGCATTGATGGCTTTTAACTGAAGAAATCTTAAGGCACAGCTTTCTTCCTGTAAAAATGAGACCAATAAGCTTTTTAGGTTCAACGGTGGACAGGTTTGCAGATGACCGAGTTAGCAATGATTATAAGACGTGGCGCCATCTCCCGATGAACGCAGTATACAAACTTTGTCGTCTGCTCCCTGCACCTGTCAGTGAATGGTGCCGCATGTTACAATAATCATTAACTTGGTCGGCTGCAAACATATCTGCTGTTGACCCTGGCAAGTTTGTTGGTTCCATTTTTCACGGAAAGGGAGCAATGCCTTGAAGTTTCGCAAGGATAATTGCACTGCTAAAATGCACCTTTTGTGGATGTTTGAGCTTTCTGTATGCAGGGGCCGATTTGTCCGGTTCATTTGAGAGCGCTAGGTTCCATTGTGGGCAGCCCTTTGAGCTGAGTGGCGCAAGCTACCACCCAGTTCAAAGAGTTCAGTTGTACTGATCCATCCGTCCATTGCAAATACCATGACATGTTTACCACTTTGACTCACCTCGCTTCTTGTGCTGTTAATAAACTCATTATCACAGTGCACCACACTAGCTAATTTGAGCATGGTGCAGAATGGGTTCACTATGGTTGATGGAACGCCAGTTCATCGAAACACATTTTAGAGAACGGGCACGTTTTATCAAAGTTTGGTTTAGAGACAGTGGAGCCTCAGTTTAGAGAAATGCCATTTACCGAAAAGGAACGAAAAGGAACGTTGTTTAAAGAAAGGCTCTGCTACTTCACACGTGTATCACTGGGGGCATGTGTTAAACACCTCCCCCCCCCCGCCCTCCTCCCTCCACGGCGGCAGTCTGTGGCTGTTCATTACAAAGATGTTAACCTACCTGACCCCTCCGTAAAGGCTGCTTTGCGGCAGTGAATTTGCTAAAAGGAGGCTTATCACCATTTTCTCTAAACTGGGTTTTAGTCTTGTGCGAATAGTGGATTTTGAGTTCGAAGCGAATACCGTATTTACTCGCACAATGAACACACTCGCGTAATGAACGCACCCCCAATTCGGAAGTCAAAATTGTTACCCCCCTCCCCACGCACGCGAAATGAAAGCTCTTTTCTATCCTGGTGCAGTGAGGTCGCGAATGCATGGGCAGCGTGGGCTAACAAAACGCCTTGCAAAAGGCGTTAAAAAAAATGAAAGCCGTTTACAACTCCCTGTAACGCCGAATTAGAGCGCAGCTCTTGAGGAGGGGGAGGGAAGGGTACTGGGGGGGTGGGTCAAGTGACCTCGGGGGGCGGGGGGTCACGTGACCTTGAGGGTCACGTGACCTTGAGGGTCATGTGACCTTGTGGGAGTCACGTGACCTTGGGGCGTCACGTGACGTCGAGGGGGTCACGTGACCTGGGGCCACGTGACGATGCCGATGACGTCATCAGTGACGTTACTGATGACGCCATCAGTGATGATGATGACGATGCGGATGCCGGTGACGTCATCAGTGACGTCACTGATGACGTCATCAGTGATGATGACGATGCGGATGCCGTTGACGTCATCCGTGACGTCACTGATGACGTCATCAGTGGCTATGACGTCAACGGGGGTCACGTGACCTGGGTGACCATTGTGACCCTCGTGAGGGTAACCCTAGTAACCCTTGTGAGGGCGACTCTCGTGACCCTCGTGAGGGTAACTCTCGTGACCCTCGTGAGGGTAACTCTCATAACCGTCGTGACCCTCGTGAGGGTAACCCTCGTGAAGATAACCCTTTTGAGGGTAACTAACCCTCGTAACCCTCGTGAGGGTTACGAGGGTAAGTAACCCTCGTGAGGGTAACCCTCGTGAAGGTAACCCTTTTGAGGGTAACTAACCCTCGTAACCCTCGTGAGGGTTACGAGGGTAAGTAACCCTCGTGGCCCTCGTGAGGGTAACCCTCATAAGATTAACCCTCATGAGATTAACCCTCGTAACCCTCACGAGGGTTACGAGGGTTGCGGTTACGCCGACGGCGACGCCGACGCCGCTCAAGCCGGGAACGGGCCCCTAAAGGCGGGAACACATTTGCGAAAAAACGAACCGAAAATCGGAGAGAAATCGGAGGCTGCGAAAATCGTAGCTTGCGATTTTCGGAAGACGAGCCACATGAGGTGGAATGCGCGGCGTGGAAATCGCAATGCACTGCGGTTTTCGCGCTCCGACTTCAGGAGGCTGTTCGGTAGTCTGGCGAACTGGCGTCCCATATTTCGCGCCTCTTAAAAACTTCAGCTATTAAAACCTCGTTGAATGCCACGCGAGCCTTTGTACCACCACCCTTTGATAAAGAAAGAAGGGGTTTTCTACGAAGTTTGAGACGAGAACGCAAAGATGGCATACGATGTTGCCTGAATGCTTCCGAAGCTGCGTGAGCCGCCATGTTGCGAGCCGATCGTATCGTTTCGTTCCGTCCTGTTCCGGGCTTTCGCTCACCGAGCTCCTCCGCCCCGAATTCGGAGGCGCCGTGCGAAAATATCTGGCGCTGCAGATCTTTCGAACCGCTCCCGATTTTCGGAAAAGGGGAGGAGCCTGGCTGCCGTGCGATTTCGGTGTGCGGTTTTCGCAAAAAATTCGGCTTTTTTTCGCAAATGTGTTTCCGGCTTAAGAGCAGCGCTCTAAAAATTCGCAAAGATCCAACGGAAGCAAGAAAAAAAACATGGAGAGGAGCGTTTTTTTTTTTTTTTTGTACAGCGCAGTCTGGACTTCGGGTTCGCGCGCCGCCGCGCGCAAGGAGCTAAGAAGGAGAAGCGCTCTAAGCGAACGAAGCAGCTTGCGAAAGGCGGCAAAAAGAAAAAAAAAAAAAATCCCACCGAACTAAGAAAAAACAAAAAACAAAAAAGCTTTTTTTTTTTTTTTTTTTTTGTACAGCGCAGTTTGGTTACGGAGGTGGCGCGCCGCGCTCAAGGAGGTAAGATAGAGGAGCGGAGAAGCCCTCTAAGCAAACGAAACAGCTTGCGAAAGGCGGCAAAAAAAAATAAAATATATAAAATAAAACATCTACTTAACTGGGAAAAGAACAAAAAAAAAAAAAAGGGGGAGCTTTTTTTTTCTCCTTTTTCTTTTGCACAGCGCAGTTTGGTTACGGGGGTCGCGCGCCGCGCGCAGGGAGATAAGAAAGATAAGCGGAGAGCCCTCCTCTGCCTAAGCAAACAAAAGAACTTGGGAGAAGCTGCAAAAAAAAAAAAAAAAGGAACTAAGAGAAAAAAAATACGAAGTTTTTTTTGTTTGTTTTTTTTGTTTTGCACAGTTTAGTTTGGTTACGGGGTCCGGCGCCTTGGGTGCCGCGCGCAAGGAGATAAAAAGTTACTTCGATTTTTCAGGATAAAAGGTCGGTCCATTATGCCAGTAAATACGGACGCAAAAACTTTACTTCGCGTAATGAACGCCCCCCCCCCCCCCCCCCCCCAACTTTGCATCGATTTTTCGGAAAAAAAAGTTGTGTTCATTCTGCAAGTAAATATGGTAGTGGTTTTGGGCCGAATATTTTTTATTCGAATATCTAAGTTTTTCCTTGCCTTTCACTACCATTGTATAATGCTTAGACGAAAACCCAGCTAAACTGGGTTTTCGTCTAAGGTTGTTCCATTTGTTAATTTATAAGCTAAGTTTAATTTATCTACATTTATGAACTGTGACCCCAGAAGGTCTGGTGTCTTCGGATGGCAAGTAAACGACGGATTTGACATAAAATGAATCCTGTAGAGATGGCCAACTATACCCTATGGTGTTAATTTACAAATATTGCTATATAAAATATTCTTTCTTTAATCTCGGAGTTAAAAGAGAATGAATCGTGCATGATGAACGCAGGTTGTAAGGGCATCTCTGCCTAACTTAGTATACTCTTGCATAATAGTTTAATTTTAAACCTTTTACTGCAATGTAGATATACACATTCACATAGTTTTAATTTATTTTCACATACAGTCGGCACAGGTGCACCATCCCGCTTTAAATGTATGCTTTTACTTCCAAGCACACAATTACGATATTCATACTTTTCCAAGATTTTATCGCGGCGTGTTACCCCGTTGAGTGCGCTTCTTACCGAGCACCAATGTGCTGCAGAGAAGCAACACCCGCAAAGCTTGTTTCCGCGGGTGTTGCTTCTCCGCAGCGCACCGGTGCTCGGCAGAAAGCGTACTCAATGGGGCCAACCCGCCACAATCAACACTTCGAAGAACGCGAATAGTGCAGTTCTTCTCGAAGCGAATATCGAATAGTGTATTATTCGGAACTACTATTCGAAATTTTGAATATTCGCACAACCCTACTGGGTTTCTCTATACAGAGATTTCATAAACTAGGATTGGTAAAATGCCATTTGGTAAGACGAGCTTCTCTGAAGCGCATGCCTCCAGTGCCAAATTGCAAGCATCTGCTTGCGGAAGGCGGTTGTTTCAGTTACCATGAGTTCATCGGCCACATTCCCGGCAACGTTGACATGTCGACGGTATTTTCCTCGATTTCGCAGGTGTGAACCTGAGGACGGGAGCTGCGGGCATTTTTCCGAGTGCATACGTCATGGACGTGGACTACACAGACTTTGCCTCTGGTGACTGCATTTATTCATTTGTCCATTCGGTTTCCTACGGCATTCGATTTTATCCATTATTGTACTTCTACTGTAGTACCATTCTTTCTGACTGTTGTTGTCGGCAGAGTGTACGTAGCATTGCAAGTTCCAGTTCTTCAGGGGACACACCCCCTAGGGGGGTCAACTTTTGAACTCTTGTCTTAAAATTAATTAAATTTACAGGGTAGGCTGGGAGTCATGCAAGAGGGTGTATAACAAAATTTCAGGTCTGTCGGTTAAATGAGAAGAAAATTAGAGCAGCTACTGTCAGCAACACGCCTACACTGTTTAGTTAATCGATCGTCAGAAAACTATCACGATATTCAAGACTTTTATTTGCTAGATATGTAGCAGAATGCCTACAGGGTGTGGCTATAGAACGTTTTTTATAAAAAGTAATTCATTTCTATAAATTTTCTCTTCTGGAAAATTGGTCAACTTTTTGGTCTTCTGTGTTTTCGACAAAATGTCAGCATTTTTTACAAAAGACATCCGTAAACTGACATGAAAGTTTCATAGCCACATTCCTTTATTAAATTTCACTCAGGAAAATGGAAGAACGAGCGTTCCCTGTTTTGCCATTATCAAACGATAGATTGACTAAAATGGAATTTATACCAAAACGTGGAACGGAGAAAAATGCGTTCAAAGTGCTCCAAACCCTACCTTTTCGTTAGCTTTGGTGTGCAGAATATAATTTATAAAAACTTAACTATGCAGTGAAAACTAATTTAACTTTTTGGGAATACTCTCTAGATGTTGGTCGATGTAAAATGTCATTTTTCAAAATCAACTTTTTTTGCAGAATATTTTTTTTTCTGGGCAGTGTCTCCCCTTAAAGGCCGACGTACAGCCTCGGTTTTCTGCAGGGAAGATAATCCTGTTAGTGCTCCCTTCTCCTAAACTGCAAGGGGAGCCGAGTTGGGGCATGGTAAAAAGTAGAAAGGATATAGGAAAGGAGTAGGCGGGCAAAAGTGGGAAGCGCGAAGTGTACGTCGAGCCTTTAAGGCCGTTTCACACAGTAGCGTTTGAGTGTAATCGACTGAGTACCCACTCACAGTAAACGAGCACACTGGTGCGATCTCTCGCTTAGCCCTGAATCTGCACACATTTTGCACACCGTGCTTTTAATGTGTGCTTGAAATAATTCTGACAGTGTTAAAAGAGACCATTTATCGTAGATAGTAGTGGGTAGATTTGATGTCGCAAATACTGGAAAAGCTTCAGTTTAGTTATAGGCAGGATGAAAGTGCTCCAGGGCTGCCCGACAGGTGATTGCCAGTGTGCCAGTGTGTGTTCTCGTCGAGCTAGCTGGTGTTGATGGCAATTCGACAGACAGTGGTTCTTCTTCATTCACCGCTCGGTTGTTTGGCATGGCGAAACACAGAACTGAGGGGAGGGACAGTGCCTAGTAGTCTAAAAGGTGATAACAGGATTGTACAGACACGACTATTGAAGTTCAGTTTCTCATCAAGCATTGCACCTTGGTCACGCATAAAACGTGTGTCAGTTGCACGTGACCTAGCTGTAATGCTGAATGAGAAACTGAACTTCGATAGTCATGTTCGTATGAGGCTTGTTATGGTTTTTAGAGTGTTGGGTGTTGTCATCTCACCTCAGTTGCATGTTTTGCGACCTATTTTGTTCTTACGTCCTGTTCAAAAGCCTTATTTTGCCAAAACTAGATTTTGTGTCGGTTCTTTGGAAGAACCTCGGTGCCACTGGTGTGGCGACATTAGAATGAGTCCAAGAGAGATTCGCAAGAATGTTTCACACTGGACAAAACTTGTGTCAGCCCCACTCTTATCAGAATGTACTATATTTTTCGGGTTTGACCGAGTTAAAATACAAACGAGAAAGGGGTGACGTAGGTAATATTTTTATTCAAGTGTTTGCATGCACATTATGACTACTCAATTATTGTATCTCACATCCAGATTAACCTTCCTGTGAGACATTCTCACTGCAATCGCTCATTTGCCATTAACTTCATGTATTGTTTGCCCCCTATTTTGCATTCAGAACTTGTTTAATATCCTGACACATTGTTAGTTGACATTTTTCACAATGACCTTTTGTCATTCAAGAGGAGATTCCACTCTTGTTATAATGTGTTTTTGCAGCGTTGTGTACCGAATATTTTTCGTGCACTACCGTTACATTATAACCTTGTTACAGCGAGTCTGGTTACGACAGACGTTCGCTTATAACATACCGATTTGTGAAGTTGGTTGGTCTTCCTATCTATGCCATTGAGTCAACTTCGCTTATGACTAATTTTGTTGTAACATACATTTGATATAATGGACTATATTAGGGAGTTTATAAATAGTTCATCAATTCATTATAGTGGTCTCTTCAACAGCAGTGATTATTTCGGACATTACGCGGATTGGTTTGGTAGTGGTAGCAACTATTTTGCCAACTGCTCTCATCGCGCTCGACGCCTTGTGAGTCTCGTGACTCAAAGCGCGCAGTGATGATAGTCATCAGCACACCTGAACAAAATATCATCACCTTCTTTCAAAGTTTAGAATTTTCAATAGATCAATTCTTTCCTAATTCTCTATTATCATTATTTATTTTTATATATATTACTGGTCCTTGTTCAGGACCGTCAACTTTCAAACCTTTGAATATTAAAAAAATTTGCAGTATATACTGGCAGTTGCCAGGCAGAATGCAGTGCAAAGTTTCATCTGTGTAGTTGAATTGTAAAAGAAATTATACAGTCTAAGCTAGATCGAAGCTAAGAAGAAAGGATTTTATCACTTTTAATTGGTTAAGTTGCATGGAGTAAATTATTTTGGTTGAACTGTATTCAGCTGCGCAGTGAAATAGCATGCTTCGGCTCTGTAGCTGTTTCTCCATTACTGCAGAAGCTTGTCTACGAAGTATAGGTCTTTAGCGTGCAGCCCACGTAAAATTTTCATGAACGTATATTTTCTGAACTCTAACATGCATAGTGTGGTCAGTCTATGCACGCTTAAAAGTTTACATTTTATGCGGTGCAAACTATCTACAGGTGCAGAATATGTAGGGATTTGGTTTTTCAAGATGGTTCATTATGAGAGATGTGATGGATTTTGTGGATGACAGATTATGCTATTGATGATTTCTGTATGATACAAGCTTGTTTGTGCGTTAACAAAGCAGGCATCTTTCAAGATGTGCCATGCATGAGAATATTTTGCGCGCGGACGATGCACTGGGGACTATTTGAGGAAAACTTTTCTTTTGCGGAAATTTTCCCCCGTGGACTATATGCCAGATGCGGACTATAATCTGGAAAAATACATTACACACGGTACGGTGCTCATTCATCGGCACGTGTGAATCGAATTCTGATTCCTTGGCTCTGGGGTATGAGGTTGACTTCCCCACTTGGCTACATGTAACCTTGTTGCGGGAAGGAAGCTTTCTTTCTTTCGTCAAGCTGAATATGTTTTTCCGCTCTTGCAGAGGGTCAGCAGCCCCATAAGGAACGTTACCTGCTGGACTTCTTGGGCTCTGTGGAGGTGTCCTGTCACAAGGGGAGTGAAGTGTTCTGCCAGGCCATTCGCAAGGTTCGTTGTTCTCCTAGTGTGTGTTTTTGGCTTGCTAAAATCAGCCTGATTTACAACATTTTTGTTTCCTTTGGGATAAGAGAGCATGGTATTATACAAAAGTCAGCGATAGACACGCCAGCACTCCCTACGAACTGCCACGATACGGGAACCGATATCGCAGACCCGGCACAGTTGCGTTTCGCGGTGCTATTTCTTGGCTAAGAACGTTGTCGCCTGTGATTTCGTCTATAATTTTTTTTGTGCCTAACAACAATTGTGAACTCTTGACAGTTCGTTCTTGTGACAGTTGATACTCGCGGCGGCAGTGTGTGTGCACGCCAGAAATCGATATCCGTAATAAAAAAGGGGCGCACAGATCGTTATAAGTGGTATATCGTAATATGTGATATTGTTATAAGAGGATAGCACTGTGGTACTGTTTCCTAAAACACCTCGAATGTAGTGCAGGTACGTCAGTGTGTGATAACACAGATTCGGTTTTGCGTTATCAATTTTTTGTGCTCGCAACTGCTACAACAAAGGTACCTCATTACGAAAAATTTCGCCGGTGCCCCGGACTTCATTATAGAGGCGTTTGGCTGTAGTAGTGATTGCCAGCACGCACCGCCGAGAATAGTGGTGGAAAATAAGAGTGTTGACAACAAAGAAGATGCACTGGTAAATGGGGAATCTTCAAAACTTTGCTTGTTGTGCAGTTCTTTGTTTTTGCATATGCTTACCACATTTTTTGCTATGCTGCATCATGGTAAGACAAAGTGTACTTAATCCTGTTAGATGCTTGGTCAGCATTTCTCTCAAATCTATATTTAGTTTCACTTTAAGATAGATCGCAGATAACATGCTACGAACCATCGAAACCAATCCCAATGCCGTGTGTGTGTCACATGACCTTCAGGAGGGCACAGCATGACACAGAACGCGTATGTGGTATGTTCACAGTGTCGGATTGGCTGGGATGGCTTGTAGCGTCTGCTGCGGTCCATCGTATGGTGGAACAGAGTACCTATTGACAGTTTGGAACCCGAGCACATTCATTTTCTTGGAAGTTATCTGGCTTCGAAAGTTCTCACAGTGAATGCACCGGAACCTGATTGCAACTGGTGTGAGCCTCTTTGGTGGATATGACTAAGTAGATCCCGTTTGTGCAGTAATGGCTCCATTTTGCCGCAGGTTGCCAAGGCGATTGCTTCTGAAGTTGGAGTGCACGGATCTCATCCCTGCGTCCTGGAGATCACGGACCAGGGACTCAGGATGGTGGACCGGGGCCGGCCATCGGTGAGATCTTTTGTGGTTTGTTTCTTCACAGATAATGCTCTTTGGGCTGCGTGTTGCCATCTACAATTGATAAACAAATGGCCTGACCAATATTGGGCAGACCTGTATGTTATGCAGTGAGCCATTGTTATAGCCATTGACAAAACCTTGTGATAAGAAAAAAAATAAAGCATGAAGCTAGTAATGAAGAACTTACCGTATTTACTCGAATCTAGGCCGATAGTTTTTCCAAAAAAATTAAATCCGAAACTAGGGGGTCGGCCTAGATATGAGGATCCGGCTCCGCCATGACCGCGGGACGCCATCACCGCGGGACGCCATCTTGTCTACATCGCTTCGGGAAGATAAGCTGTGTACCACGGAACGCATGGAACGTTTGTCTCTACTCGACGCTATGGCATTGACCAGTCGATGCCACTACTTCGTGGCTCTTAAGAGAAAGGTTGTCTTGGCTGCTGAACACTCGTCCAACCTGCAAGCCCAGCGTGACTTCGGCATGGACGAAAAAAAATGTGCGTCGCTGGAGAAAGCAGCGTGGTCAGCTCTTTGCATGTGCGGCATCAAGAATGGCGTTCTCAGGACCGCGGAAGGGAAGGCACCACGAGCTGGATCGCGGCCGCATGGGATGACATCCCGGCGGAACTGGTAGTAAAGTCGTTCCGAAAGTGTTGCATCTCGAATGCCCTGGACGGTACGGATGACCACGCGTTGTGGGAAGTGGACAGTGACAAAGATACCAGTGAGGATGACGAATGATCAGAAAAAATGCGGACATTAACCGTGAGCATACCGTCGGATTCGTGACCGAAATAGTGCTGTACATTGCAGATAAATTCCGTTTTGTGTTTAATTTATGGTGTTTTTCCTATACTTTTTGGTCGGCCTAGAATCGAGAATTTTTTTTTTATTTTTGGGCCCTGCCGTTTTTGCGGGGTTGGCCTAGAATCGATGCCGGCTTAGAATCGAGTAAATACGGTATATGTGGAAAGCCTTAGAAGGGCAGTCAGTTCACTAAGAGACTTGGCAGTGTGTCACTGAGCTAAATATTTTGTGAGGTGTTGACTTCCACGCTAGGGCTCTCCAGGAGCATTTAACAAAACTGCTGCAAGTAGTCGTATTATTAGTAGAGTCAAACCCGTTTATACAGAACTCGCGGAAAAACATGGAGAAGTTTGATAAAGCATGTAATTCAATATTGAAGGTCTAAAGGAGCACTGACAGCCCAAAGGTCACATTTTTGTTTTTGCTGTCTAAAACAATGCAAGTTGTGGTCGACACACAAAACAAATACTACAACGCAAAAAGAAATGTTCACGTGTGCGGGTATTCATTTTTGGTTTTTTTATCCCCCTCTTTCCAAATCTTTCGACTTCCTCAACCTCAGCCTTGAGTATATGTTGGGCGCTAGGTGCACATGGCCTTTTCTCCTTTTTGGCCCGAATTTGAGCCCTATTCTTTAAAATTGTGCTTAGAGTGCTTCTTGGAATCTGGTATGCTGCAATGACATCTGATTTCTTCTCTTCTTGCTCAATGGCACTAATGATCTTCGGTTTCTCTGCAAATGAGAGTTTCTGTCGTTTCACGTTAGCCCTCACATAGAACAAGGGTGATAAGCAACAAACAAATATGGCAAAACTGCTGCTACGATCATTGGGAAGCGACTGCTTCTGAATTCTGAAGTGCAAACGCTTCAAAGCCCGTCCGGAAAGAAGGTGACGAAGAGGAGAGTATATGGTTGGCTGTTTGGTGAACGTTGCTACGTCATGAGAAATCTGCTATTCCTTTGCCACTTCTCTTCTTTTTTTTTTTTTTTTACACGATTAACCTTTTTTATATGACGAGCGGCAGGAGAGCTTGTGTTGATGGAAAGCCAACTTCCAGAACTGTTTGGCTCCACCCGAAGCTCTATTTATAGGGTATCACTGTTATTTTCATCCGGTGTAGCCATTCTCTTTGCTGTGCATTTTCATTGCACTTTTGCTGTGGGAAATTGTTCTATAAGGGATAATTCTAAATAACTGGGTTTGATATAGTCGGGTTTGACTGTAGTACATTTCTTTTGCAAGTAATCTCAAGCGATTGTAAGAGCTACTTTATTGCTTTTATTAGCTGATGAAATTATACTTGCCATTGTTGCCTTGAGACTTACGGGGACCATCGAGATCTTTCTGCCTGCTACAATGACGGTTTACATATGTCTATACTTTTTAAACAATTGCTTTTTCCCATGCATCTAGATGAGAAAAAGGAATGAGAAACATATCAAAGCAGCAAGAATTCACTATACAAACATCTCCACTTTTTGCATTAATTTCGTTACGGAGCTGACATACTGGTCACGTGACATAGCTAATCAATCAGAAGATGAACGTCCACAGTCAAAATAACTAGTAAGCTATTTCTGGTATTTAATCATTGCTTTTAAGATATGCTTGACCTACAGTAATTTAATTTGTAATAACCATTTTTGGCCATATGGACACGACTGCTGTGGTTCTGTTTGAGGGAAAATATTGGCATTTGTGATCTAAGCTTACGTTACACCATCGGCATTACGACGCTTCGAAATGCCTGGAATATTCATCAGGATAATCTCGTTGTCTCTCTCACATTGCAGCCAAATCATGTGCCAATGCATGACTACTTCTTCAACCTTAAGAATGTTACGTTCTGCGGGTACCACCCCACAGACCACAAGTAAGTGAAGGCCGGTTCGCAAACCTTCTTTTTAAGCCACGACAGTGGACCTGTGCATGAGTATACGAGTTCCCATGTTGTTTTTTTTTTGTCAGTTCCAACATACAGGGGTGTTTTATGTTTTTTTAGCATACATTTCAAGTATTAAAGGGGCACTAAAGTGCTTTTTGAGATCCTCGTTTTATTGTCAAGACTCAAGGTCCTAAAAACCCGAAATTGCATTCATGCACGGCCAGTTTGTATATTAAAAAAAGTTATCAAAGTTCCCAATACTTACCTCTGTCACAGAATGACAGATGGTTCTATTGAACCTTGCTGAATAGGGTCGAACAACAGGCTGCGCTTGTTAGCCTCACTCAAGGGACGGGTTCCCACATGGACGCTTGTTCACGCGGGCACCCATCGCTCGAGAGTGGCTGATAAGCGCTGTCCGTATTCATCAAGGTTCAGTAGCGCTTTCTGCAACAACGGTGTCGGGAACTTTGATAACTTTTTAATATGCGAATTGACTGTTCATGAATGTGATAAGAGGTTTTTAATAGGGTTGTGCGAATATTCGAAATTTCGAATAGTAGTTACGAATAATGCACTATTCGATATTCGCTTCGAGAAGAACTGCACTATTCGCGTTTTTCGAAGTGTTGATTGTGGCGGGTTTGCCCCGTTGAGTGCTCTTCTTACTAAGCACCGGTGCGCTGCGGTGAAACAATACCCGCGGAAGCAAGCTCCGCGGGTGTTGCTTCTCTGCATTACATCAGTGCTCGGTAAGAAGCGAACTCAACGGGGTAACCCGCCCCGTTGATAAATACTTGAAAAAAATATTAATATCATAATTGCGGGCTTAGAAGAAAAGCATACATTCAAAGCGGGATGGTGCACCCGTGCTGCCTGTATTTGAAAATAAATGGAAACATTGTGAATGTGTATATCTACATTGTAGTACACTATGTTAGGCAGAGATGCCCTTACAACCTGCGTTCATTATGCGCGTTTCATTCTTTTTTAACTCGAGTTTAAAGAAAAAATATTTTATAGAGCAAGATTTGTAAGTTCGCTCAATTGGGTATAGTTGGCCATCTTAAAAGGATTCATTTTATGTCAAATCCGTCATTTACTTGCCATCCCAAGACAACAGATGTTCTGAGGTCACAGTTTATAAATATAGATAGAGTAAACTTAGCTTATAAATGAACAAGTAGAACAACCTTCACAGGTTTAGCTGGGTTTTCGTCTAAGCATCATGCAATGATAGGGAAAGCACCTAGAAAAGCGCCAAAAAACAGAAGGACGAGGAAGTAGACAGACAAAGCGCTCTGTCTACTTCCTCGTCCTTGTGTTTTTTTAGTGCTTTTAGGTGATTATGAACCAGCTGGCCCAAATTGCTACCTTAGTGGTAGCGAAAGGTGTGGAAAGACTATTCGATATTGTAATCGAAAATATTCGGCCAAAACCACTATTCGCTTCGAATTCGCTTCGAACTCAAAATTCACTATTCGCACAAGACTAGTTCTTAAGATGCTTAGAGCTGATAGTTTGAGTTATGGCCATAAAACGAGGATCTCAAAACTCATTTTAGTGCCCCTCCCTTTAAGAGTACCCTTGAAAAAACAAAATGCCATAAGACAGGGTCAGTGATGGCCTGCATACTTTCGAGTTTGACAAAAACAGTCCGTCTAATATCTGTTGGTGGTGAGTATACGGAATCAATCAAAAATATAAGAAACTATTAGAAGGATATGTTTATCGAACTTGAATGTGTTGTGAGAGGCCCCTCGTAAAGGGTGACTTTCCAAATATATATATTTAAATACTGTCAAGACCGGTTATAATGAAGTCAATGGGAACCTGAAATCACTTCACTATATCTGCTTCTTCGTTATACCTGGACTCCTAAAAGTAACACGCTGAAAAAAAAAATGACCGCATCTCCACGTGATGAATGATGTTGATTGGGGCGAAGCTCTGGTGGTGCTGATGATACTGATTTTGTTCATAGGTGGTGCTGATGGTGCTGATTTTTTTTATTGCTCATAAGTAGTGCTGAGTTCCGGGTTGCATTGGTACGGAATGTGTGGTATGGAACATGGTTATATACGCATTTGAGCATTTGACCGCAGTGCCCTCTCGTCTATGAACGTTGAGCCAATGCATGCAAAGTTTAACGCGATTATATACGCATTTGACCGCAGCGCCCTCTCCTGTATAGACAATGAACGGCTACATGCAACGTTTCATCCATGACATCCCCAGCTCTTGAGTTACTACCACATCTCAGAGCCCCCTACTCGTCCCGCAGTCGTGGCCGAGTGGTTAAGGCGATGGACTAGAAATCCATTGGGCACAGGTTTGAATCCTGCACAGGTTTGAATCCTGTCGACTGTGCAAACATTTTTTCTTTTTTTAAAAAGACAGATGGGATGGCAATCAATGTGAGCGCGGACGCCGGACGGACAAATCTAGACCCTAAGGAGCTTCGCCCCTAAAACACGGGTGTGTCACGGGTGCATGTTTATCGTGCCCGCAGAAAGCAGTCGAGGCTTCCATGCACGAGTTCTGCGCTAGATCAAAGCAGCTTGTCACCAACTGCAAGAAGCTCCAATCGTGAAAAGATCCTGGAGCCATATACTTAAGACCGTGTCGACAGCTGCAGCGGCTGCCGCGGAGGACGCCAGCGGTGGACGGCATTCTTTACGTTTATGCGCACTTGTCGAGTATGGCACGCTTTCGTTTCAAGGAGATTCCCTTCGTCTTACCCGTCGAGGTGCCGGCAGTGCCGGGACTCTTTGTCGTTGAGTGGCGATGATTCGCCGAATCGGTGCTTGAGCGAAGTTAGACTTTCGTGCAAGAGCGACCACACCGACCAGTGACGGTATGCTGAGATAAGCTGCGGCCAAAAGGTTTCCCAGATCTCTTTTGTTGACCCAATATCTGCTATGTCACCAAAAACTTACCTTTTGGCTGGTGCATATCAATTCTTTCATTTAAAAAAAGTTTACCTTGGGGGCTTAGGTAGGACGATCACCAAGGGCAGATTTAGAGTGGGGCCCCACTCTAAATCTGCCCCTGGCGACCAGAAGCTATTTTTGTGGTTGTGAAACGGTGGAAAGCATTCATCACAAGCATACCATCCATACTCTGTTTCCTGTGCCGTTTATGGCAGCTCTTTGTGCTGCTTTGTGCTGCCTTGGAGTTTCCTTCACCCTCAGATTGCGAAATACATTTGAAACAGGGTCACATTCCCTGAGAGAAACGGCATTCAACTATTGCCGATTGGACTTGACCTGTCAGTTTTTCATGCGCAGGTATATTGAGCCAATAAAATAATAAGAGGTAATTACGGTTACGAGCATGGAGCCTAAGTTGTTCTGCCTTGTTAATGGAAGGAAGAGACTACAGCTGGCCTGCCTGCACTGGTCATTTTGTATTTTATTTGTTTGTTATTATTCCACTTGGGAGCCAGTTGCCCCAGTTTGCTATGGCTAGGAACATAGGGTGCCTCCAGAGCATCTCTGATTGGATACATTCCGTTTCGGTGAAGTCATTAGGCAGATAGATGACGCTGAAAGACAAAGCTGGGTAGTGTGGTGGCTAGCGTACCTCACCGGTAATGAAGAGATCTGGAGTCTGACTGGTCAACCCTGTCAAATACCCTGTTTTTCTGCGGCTTTGTAAAGTACCCCCCGTTCAGTCGGCGTGGTCCGTTCATCGGCACATTTCGACTATTTCCTCTTTATAGACCAGGCAGTGAAAATGATCCGTAATATGTATCTAGGAATGAAGCTGGGGAGACAGATCATGTGCAGCATGTCTTCAGGGGCTTAAGAAAAGCTAATTCACATTTTGTGTTTTGCAACTTTATCCATAAGATTTTATTAGGCCCGCTTCAGACGGGGCAATTTCGCCCAGCAACTTGACGTCGCAACACCAGCAACACGGGCCGGCGTGTTCACACGCAGCAACCGAATTGCTAGGACTTGTTATCATCATCATGAAATTTGATTTTTTTTGCACTTTTTAGACGCACAGCTACGCGCTAAAAACATGTTTTCATATCTTTGATTGGCATTGGGAATACTAACTCATCTTTCTGTAAAGGCTTATTTCCAAAACCAATTCATTTCAAACCAGAACTAAGTCTTTAGCTGTCATCATCACCACCACGAGGTGTCACATGAAAATATTGCGTCCCTGATTGGCTGCTGCTGCTTCGAACGTCTCCGAGTTGTTCGAGTTGCTCGTCCGTTTCGAGTCGGACCCGATCTCAGCAATTCGTATTGACCTAGGGAAAGCTAAGGAACAACCCGCCAGCGACTCCGAAATTGCTCGAAAAGTTGCCCCGTTTGAAGCGGGCCTTAGGATGATCTTAGGATTACCCGTAGAAAAAGAAAAATATTTCTTAATCCATAGTGTGCAAATAGCTACTGCTTGCTGTGGTTGCGAGGTCTCAAAAACGTTTGTTTTCAAAAATGCCATCTGCACTGCAGTTCAAGCAATCGAGGCATCTCGCTCAACGTTGCTGGACGGATAGTATTTTTAGGCAAGAAAAGGGCCCTCTGTCTTGCCATTTGCTAGTCTTCCCCGATAGATCGCCACAATTGGTCATCTATGGCAATACAGACGCACCGTCCTCATTTCTATAAAGCTAAAAAAATATCTGAGCAAATACAATGTGCTGGCAATGAACTACCAGCAGTCTTGTGTGTTCCACTGGAATGTCGTTTTTGTGTTTTTTTTACCACGCAGGTATTTTGGGTTTATCACCAAGCATCCCTTGCGGGAACGGTTCGCTTGTCACGTGTTCAGGGCCGAAGGATCGACGAGGGAAGTTGCCGAGGCTGTAGGGTGAGTCGACGCTCTTTGCAGTCTTCACCATGAGCGTCACATGCCGTAATTAGGGCTCCGCGTTTTATGAGTTTAAATATCGTAAAAATCTAAGGGCATTTTTTGGAGTGTATATTTCGCCGCGACTTTGGGATTCGTTGGAGTTCATTTTTTGTAGATTCCCGACTCTCCAAAATTCTGAGTTTAATTTTGCTATGTTCCCAATTTTCCAGAATTTAATGTGAAGAAGTAATACCCAAACACAAAGATACCCTAAACTCACCTGTATCGGATGATATTTCTTTGGCAGTGACTATTTCGACATCCAAGCTGAACAGGGTTTCAAGTATTATTTTGACGTTCGTGACGCCACTTCCTAAAGACGGGAAAATATTTTCTAAATACTGTTAATATCCCCCATCAAAATATTTTTTTTAATTATTATTTTGACATTTCAAACTTTTCAAACAAACGTTTCAAACACATTCTCAATATATGTTTAAAAAAAAAATATATATATATATATATAAGCTTGCTTCCAGGCAGCATCACGGTTCAATACGCATTTTCAGTAAACAAATGTCATGTAACCTTTTAAGTGATGGGGTATGTAAAAAAAACTTCTCAATGTACATCAGCTAAAGGTCGCACATTAGAGATCTATGCGGCCTCAAGCTAGCCCGAAAGCCCAACCCAACAGTCTGGTCGGGATGGGGGAAAGTGTTGAGATACGGGAAAAGGGGGTTAATGTCCATGCATACTATTATTCACCCTAATAGGGGAAAAGACTCGCATGAACAAAGGGATGAGAGATTAAAAGTGGGATAGGGTATCAAAGCGGAATCACAAGTTCAAAGTTCCAGGCGGATTTAAAGGTTGGGAAAGGAGAGGGGAGAGGGGGAAAGGGGGGTGGAGTGGGTGACGGGCGCGATAGGAGTGTGAGGGGAAGACATGCAGGGGTCACAGGCGCTCGGCAAGCTCTGTCTGGTGGAGAAACTCTAGCACGGCACGGAAAATGCTCCAGGCTTGCTGCCGGCTACCAGTGGGAAAAAGGAGACACGTGGTTGTAGCCGTTTGTCCTCCTGGTCGGGCTCAACCCAATATACAAAAGTACTATTTTTTTTTTTTTTTTTGTATGAAGAACAGGTAATTTATTTTTGAGTAATTTCTTTTTTTTTTTTTTAATTTAATGAGAGAAGTCTAGTTTACAAGTGCACTTAACTATATAGTATTAATTCATTCCTTCATAAACATAATTACCCCAGACCTTTCCCTCTTGCTACACCGCAAATCCATCATTTACACTGCTTTACAAGCAGTCCTTGAAACATTAATGGTCAAGAACCACTATTCTAGGACGCAGTTATCAACATCAATGACTCCGTGCCACCAGGCATCGCGTGTGTGTTGAAAACAGCCGGTGCGCACACTCCCTTGCAGTACACGCAGGAGTCGAGTCCTGCGAACTGCAGATAGCGAGCGACCAAGGGATGGGGTTAGACCTGAAAATTCAATGTGCGCATTGCACTCATAAAAATGAGCATGACGTTTGTTGCTATTCTCTTTATGAGCATGTCGCATATTTCAAATGTAATCCTATTCGGAGCTCCGTCCTACCCCATCCCCCATCCATGGGGGCTGAGTTCGACATCGGTAGGTTGGTCCAGGAGGTGTTTGTTTGTTGCAGTGGGTTTGCCGCCCACTGTGGCAGCGCCATGCCCGACAGGATCGCAAACGCTCAAGAAAGTTGCAAATAGACCGGTCACCTCACTATGATGCAGACGTTACAATCTTGATAGCATTTGCGATCGCTTGAGACGTGGGCCTGACCAATTGCAGCAGGAGGCAAACTTGCCGATCAACTTGCCGACGTGGAACTTGGATCCCAGTAGTTTCCCACGCGTACCTCGGGAAAGTATGTACCATTTCGCTTAAGTGTGTTCACTAAATTATTTATGTGCCATTCCAGTGTCTAGGGCTGAACGACAACCAAAAAAATTAACCTGATTATTCGCTATCGATTAATCAGACGCTTATTAAATTAATCAATTGCGTTCACCTCTAGGCATATTATGCAATGCTATAAAAGGACCAAAACATCACATTTTATAGCTGCCTATGTTTATCGCTTTGCATCACTGGCGAAACAAACAGAATTATTTGAAACACGCATCATTGTTCTAGAAACAGCCCGAGTAAATAAAATGGCTGTGCAGACCTTTGAAACAAATGTGTTCAACTTTCGAGGTTGGGAATTCTCGTTCAATATGAACGGTGTCATAAACAAAGGTAGAATTAATAGAAAACACAGTCGACCTCAGGCCAAGTTTGGGCCTGGTTCAGCGTGATTCGGGCCAGGTTTGGGTTGGATTCATGTTGGGTCGGGCTTGGACTTGTGTTTAAAGGGGCACTAACAGGGCGTTTAGGCTCGCCAAGGTTTTTAGTTGTACATGACATATCAGAGCCCAACTACCCAGAACACAATTTGCGACTCGAAATTCGGTTTCTTTCCGCCCGAAAACCGCCGATCAAGAACTGGCCGGTTCGAGTCTCGCTCACTCTCTTTTCCATGGTCACTGGCCATTTTCTAAGGTATCGACGCGACCATCAAATTTAATCAAAGTCGTTGGTCACTGAAGGCACACACTCAATATTAAAAATAGAAAAAAAAAAAATATGAAACCTATTTTTTGTGGCTTCTAAAAAACTGCAAATACGTTGATTGAAAAAAAAAAAAAAAAAGTTGCACAGAGAACCGGAAGCATTCTGTGCGTGCGTCGTTTCGCGTACCATGGGACTCGCGGGGACGGCGATGGCAGCGGACGACGAGCGTGGTACCTCTACTTCAGAACTGTCATTTGTGGTACCGGCGAATTCTGTCTGCCTTTAAAAGAGAAATTTGGGACTGATCAAAAGAATTGGTATTCATCCCGTGCGACATGCCCGACCACCAAGCCGATTTGCACGAAGACGTCGCCGAGCCGTCGCTCTCTTCTCGTGGCTGAAGACATCGCTCGCCCTAACGTCAAGCACGACGTGTCCATTTCGAGTTGAATATGCACGCGTACGATTTCTTTACTAGGTGAGAATGTCGCCAATGCATGGTGCTTCCCGACTTCGACCCAGGAGTGGTTTTGCTGGAGGAAATTCGGCAGCAAACTTTCCAACTTACAATTTTCCGCCTGAATTATTACTAAGGAAAGAAATCCCCCAGTAAAGAGATGCCCCAGTAGCTCAGTGGGAAAGACGTCCACTTCACACGCGGTAGGACCGAGTTCGATCCCCAGTGAAAGTTCTTTTTTTTTTTTTTTTTTTCCAAACATTTTTTGATGTTTACTTTTTTTTTTACAATTATCATTGAAGAAACAAACAAAAAAATAAACAAATGTTGTGGACGACACGTTGCTGAATTAAATGGTATGGGATTTCCTTTTTGACACCTGCGAACTCAGTGTAATCACTTTCCACAAAATGCGAGAAGCATATAAATCAGGTAGCGTCCACTTTCCGAGGTTCTACACGAATTACAGCCAGCCATTGGTCCCGATCCCGTTGATCTTTCGGAAACTCTTTCGCACAATGCCACTTTTTTTCGGACGGAGGACATGTGAGCCAGCTCTTCACGCAACATCTTGGGTGTATTCTTTTCGGAGCCGATCATGGAAATTCACCACGGGCACTCACTACTCATCTCCGACTCCTCAATGTAGAAAACAACTCATCTTGGAGTACAGAACAGTGAGCGGAACAAACATAACTGCAAAAGAATCGCACGGCAAACAATTCCTGCTACGCCGCATGTCGTTTGTTACGCAAAGAAGAAGAAAAAAAAAACAAAAAAAAAACTGCACGGTTGGGTGTAGCCATGTGACTTTTGCCACTCACTCTCTTCTCTCCACTTCTCCGACCTCCGTGCCTGAGTTTCGGTTTCGAGCAGTTGCGTCTTTTGGCTTTATTAAAAAAATATGCTGCTCTGTTGCAAAATATTAATTGGGTAGTCCTCCGACATCATAATAAAGCGCTTAACAAAAAATGAAAAAAAAAAAAAAAAAAAAAATATTTGGGGGGGTGTCAGTGTCTCTTTAAAAAGCTGGTTCGAGCCAAGGCCTTATTGGGCCGGGCCGGGTCGGGCCTAAAATTCCGGCTCGATCTCATCTCTACCGCACGTAATGTTAGTGTGGTTGTACTAAACATTACGAAATGCAGTACCATTGTTTTTCATGATTTACTTTATGTGTTCTTATAGAAAAACAAGCTAAATCTTGTGTCGAAAGATTTCTTGTTTATTGGACGACGTTTGCTGTCAGAAAATGTGCGTATCTCATACAACCGCGGCGCATACTGCAATAGGGGAAATTTTTTGCTCAGTGTGTTATAATCTTGCTTTGTTGTTCATTTGCACCGGTCAAGAAACACCAAGAAGGCAGTGTTTGCATCCACAACATTTTATTTAACATCCCGATCGTTTAGTAGTAAAGCCGCTCGTTAAACACGACAAAAAAAGAAAATCTAAATTAAACAACAAATTTATTACCCCAGTTAAAAACAGGACAGGAGCCGGAAGCAAGGCAGGACTTTGAAACAATACGAAGATGCGCTCGTACGGTGGTGGAGGCGTGGAGTAACAAAAAGCATTTCATTTCATTCATTTCATTTATTAATACCTGAAAGGCACTTCTCCTGAAATGCGTTGCATGAGAGGGGAAGCAAGAGAAATATAAAACAAACATTTAGAAACAAACAAGAGAGCTCCCAAAATAAAACTAGATAGTGAGGTTTGCCGAATAATGGCTAGGGTTAATTCAGATCAGGAGACATATCATAGAAACAAATATAAGAAACTAAAAAAAATGGTAATAAATAACTATTAGAATAAACAGTCAAACTAACCGAGAACACTTTTAAGATATGCCTTGTAAAGATTGCGAAATTTAGTTTGATTATTTTCAAGTACATTAGCCTCAGGAAGAGAATTCCAGTTGTTAATGGCTAGAGAGAGCTGAGAATTTTGAAATTTGCTAGTTCTCGCAAATAGAGGGTTTATTTTCAGATTGTGGTCACGACGTAAAGAGATGTGTGATGAAGTTGGCAGTAATGGTTTGGAAATGACGAAGAGGAGTAGCAAATTTTGTTTAGCATGACAAGACGGTAATTTTAGTTCTTTCAGCCTGTGGGCAAAGGTTGAGGTTAGTTTTGAGTGCAATTAGGCTTGATGACCGCGAGTAGTCATGGGATATGAAGCGGGATGCCTTGTTCTGAATTGACTCAAGTTTGTTACTAAGGTAAGCCTCATGCGGCCACCAAATAAAGGAAGCTTAGTCCAATTTAGCCCTGACAAAGGACTTGTAGGCTGTTAGTTTAACACAAAGGGGGATATGGTATAGGTTACATTTAATATATCTGAGATTTACAAGCACTAGACACTACATTGTTAATGTGAGTATTCCAGGTAAGGTCGCCAGAAAATGTTACTCCTTAATATTTGTAGATAGACACTTTTTCGAGAGGCAGAATTTGTAATGTATAATAGTTAAGTATTGCAGGCGTTCATTGGCCAGTGAATGTTAATAGTTTACTCTTCAATACATTGACCTTCATCTGCCATGTGTTACACCAGAGTGAGAACATATTTAAATCCTGTTGTAGTAGTAAAGACTCTTCAGTATTAGTAATACAATGATAAATGACACAGTCATATGTGCAGAGCCTGTTGATGACGTTATATGGAGGGTAGGTCATTAAGATAGATAAGAAATAAAAGCTCTCAGTGTTAAAAACTCTCAGTGTTACGTAGTGCAAGAATTTACATTTACATGCTAACAAGATAGGGAGACATCTCATCCAGCTCGCCTCTTGTAAACATTTTAAGTGAGACATGTGCCAAAGTGACGTGCGGGAGCTTGGAACATCGCTGCCGGGCGGGTCGCGTCCAAAAGGATTAACTGTCAAGCCAATCGAGCACACACACGCCGACTAAAACATTTCTAGTGCCAAGTAGGATTGAAACTTCTTAGGCATGCAACACAGCCACACACGACTCCATCAGCACAACACAATGTGACCGACAACACCATCAGAAACTAAACAGAACGAAACTGACAAAACCATGAAACGGCTGCCACTTCGAAATAATAAAACCACTGTATATATAGTCATAGTCTACAAAGTCCAATAGACAACATGATACCCCACATGTTTTTCGACCCGCATAAATGAGCCACGCGTTGCAGAAAGCTGAAACTTGAATATGACGCTAGTAGTGGCCATGGAATGCGAAAGTTTGAAGACAGGCATGTTACCTCAATAAAAGGATTGAACAAAAAAATTAAATTTCTCTACGAGCCGGCTCAAATCCACCTAGGCCCAACGGTTATCAAACTAAGAAATGACCTGTGCCATTTGTTTCTGTGAAACAAACAAATAAAACGAGATTGTCTTTTTAACTGACAAGTTTGTCAGGGGGCATCACGGCCACGCGAAATTTTCAAGAGTCGATAATAACTTTTGTGTCAGATAAGGAGAAGTTTTGAAACTTTGGTATCTCGTTCTAACCGCCAATTTTGCATACGAGCGGAGACTAAGCATTTGGCGGCGCATAGTTTATTTCTGCGGCGAGAGAAACGCGGTTCTCTTTTCTCTCGTACCCACAGTGTATAGGAAACCTCGGCTTTCTCGGTGTATCGGCAACAAGACAGACGTTACCGGTCATGTCAAGCTCATCCTTGGGAGGGCGAGGGTTAACGGCCGTTTTTCCCTTGCATCCCTTGTGCACAGTCGGGCCTTCCGGAGGTTCTACCAGAAGTTTGTGGAGATGGCGTACCCCGTCGAAGACATCTACATCGAGTGAAGCGGTGCGGGGTCTCCGGACGCACATCCGCCCCCGCTTTGGATCGCCGGCCGTCTTCGAAGAAAGGCTTCCACTTTTTCGTTCCCGTACTCACCGACACGCACGTTCAAAGTGACCACTAGAGCCGCCAAATATGCTCCAGAGCATCGACTCTCCGTCCCCCTCGTGGGCACCGCCATTTTGTTGCCTAATTCAAAAGGGGGACAAACAGACCGATCTCGAGAACCAGTTTCGTTACGCCGCCGCTGCCGGCAGGCGTCCTGGGAATACAGATCCAGTAGGGAGTTTTAGAGTGATGCACGCAATTTCATTGCATGCTAATGTTAAATTTAGCGCTTACATTGGCGCACGTACGCAATTCATGAAATATTTAGAATAGCGTTCCTTCGCCGCGACATAAAAACGAAAGCATCTCGAGCTTGCAACACCACCGAGATACAGTAACAATTTTTATGTCATGCACAAAACACTGTAACTTGAGAAAAAAAAAGAAAAAAAGTTTCTTTGTCCAGAGTGACATTTCAGATTTGTTTAAATGTTACCTTAATATCCGAGAGATAGCCCACCTAATATCAAAAGCAAATCGGGTGAAAAAAAGGAGTAGGCTAACTTTCGGTGTGCGATAAAAAAAGTTAGAAAAACGCTAGCTTTAGATTTTGTGACCTGCGAAACTCGTGATCGCAGGGAGGAGCAATGAACCAAGGACGACTGTTGTTCCCAGTCAGCAATGTTCGCGGTTATCTCCTGCCGTGGCTAAGTAACACCATTTCTGCCGAGGTACCCTTTGCACAATGCCCTGCGGTTTACTAGAAGTGTTCTATCTTTCGGTGTTTTTGGAAAAATAGCAAATCATACCAAAAATGGTATAGTGGGTTATCTTTCAAGGGGTGGGTCATCCCTCAAGATATTATGGTAGGATGCGACACAAGCTGTAGACCGGTCGTGTTCGCTCACAATGCCTCGGCAAGAGAGGTCTCATGTACGGACCTTCGCACACCGTACCTTCGTTAGAAAACATTCGCGCGTCACAAGCTGCAAGTTGCCGGCGATCGTCGCCCACCTTGCTGGGTCTTCCAACTGGTTTGTGACGTTCGCCTCCTGTAAACAACGTCGTCCTGTATTGAAAATCGCAGTCGCACGGATGCTGCTGACGGCAAGCTCACGACAACACAAATCCTTCTTGTGAAAAATCCAGACACACCTTGCGTACGTGCACACTTTCCAAAAAATGGCGTACGCTAAAATAGCGTACGCAAAGTGAAAAATGCAGTTAGCGTTTGGCGCACGCGCAGTGGCGGCAACGCCATTCTTTGCGTGTGCAAAGCCTTTGTGCACGCTATTCTAAAACTCCCCTGTGTCAAGGAAGCTCAGACATCACCATTTTGCTCTCTTGAGAACTGTTAACATTTCTAGAGGACAGAAAGTCATTGAATTCAGTTTAAGTGTCGGATAACTGGCAACAGTGATCTCAAGCAGGGAGACTGCTGAGGTGTCTTTACTTTGAAGTATACCCTCTTTGGCGGCTCTAGTGACCCCCGTTTGCGGCCTTGTTTCCGGAGCAACCCACGAATCATAAAGGTGGCACATAGTGCGTCCAGAAAATGCACACGCACCACCTTGAATGTCTAGCAACCCAAGTGAACTTGCAAGTGGCGACGGAAGTGCAGAGTGGGGCACCAGAAATGTGCGCGTTGCAAGCCGGTTGCCGTTCTGCGGAAAACGATGAGAAATACGAGCTAGCCGGGAGACCGTCAGACGTTACCCGCGTACGAGAGAAATCGCATTTTTAGGAGGCGCCATTTCGTATCTCTCGTCTTAGGCTAATAATTTCTATAATTCTTAATGCACGACGCTTGCCTCACGAATATTTGGCTACGGCTTTCTAAGTCTGCTTGTACGAATTTAACGAGGTACGAGCAATTTCCAGTTTGGACCGGCCCACACTTCGCGATTTCGTGGGTTGTATAATTTCTTTGGGACCTATTCTGTTTTTGTGAATAATGGAGGAACTAAAGAAAATGAGTTGGTGCACGTTTAACATTTGGAAGTGCTGTTCATGTCTACCGATTTTATGCCAACTTTGCGTGGAGTGACTGAAAAACCAGCAGTGGTTTGAGTAAATGCAAAGATAGTCATCTAAGTTTTTAAATGCTATTAAAAGTCGGGGGTGGTTTATTTTATACAAACTCTACTGATAAAATACATTTGGTGTGCCAGCATAATTTATGTAAATAACATATACTAGTAATTTTTATTTTAAGATATCTGTCGGCTAGAGTAGCATCAACTGCCATTACCACCTGTATTGCAAATATCGGTGTAAAGTTTTTTTAATGTTTGCTTTATATGCAGCAACTGCACGTTTACTAGCAAACGTTGGGGTCACAAAAGGTAGGATTGAACCCTTTCCGTGCTATCGATAGCCTCGTTAAACTTTCTGGGTACAATTTTTGGCTAGTTTTTTGTTCGCACTCATTTTTCGTGCCCCCGTCTGCATTTTATGGCCACATAGTGATAGTCTTTGAACTCTAAACCTTAATCTTCACAAGACGTTTTTAAGTCGCTCAAACAGGTACGAGTCATGACAGTGTTCCTTTTGGGCCAAATTCCTTGGAAGCTACGACTTAATTATTCAGCAATCTGGCGTCTACTCCGCCAGATTGCTGAATAGGTTGCTGAATGTTGCTGCTGGTCTCATTGAACTACGGAACTCTCGTTTACACTTCCCCATCTCGCGTCTTAGCATAAAAGAAGCAAAGAAATGTTCGACACAAAGGCGTGCAAACCCGCGCACCAAGGCGAAGTGTCAAAGGCCACAAGATGTACAGTTCGAACGTTTATGACAATTTTTTTCCTTCGGTCACATAGTTTGTATATAACCACCGCCGTCTCGCACGTCTCCGAACGCCAAATCGTTTTGCCTGGCTCGAGAGCGATTCGGCGGGACGTCGGTGTCGTCCCACGAGTTTGTCGGATGTTTGGTCGGTGCCGGCGTCCAAGTGCGTGGAGGGCGGCGTTGTCCGGACGTAGAGCAGCGTTGACTGTAAACAGCTTTCCAAAGATACACGTTCATGTAGCTGCTGCATTACAATCACGCTCGTCGCTGGCCGCAAGTTCGGCGGCCTTTGTAAGATGTTGCCAACGCTTTTGCCAATGGTCTGCCGCACCTGCTGGAGGCGTTCGAAAAAGATGCCCTACCGTTCTCTTCTCGTCAGCGACAACTGCGGCCACAACTGTTTTTCTTGTAGTTGTCGCCGTCGTCGCGCGAACGCCGCAGCTCGTGCATGGGTCAAGATCGTTTGCGGATTGTTTATGAGAGCGGTCGTGTTTCTTGGCAGCATCCCGAGGCACTGGAAGAGCACCCCAATTGTGGGATACTCCTTTGTTTTGTAAAAGCAACGCTTGTCGTTTCAACTAGTCGCAGTCGTTTTGTTACGCATTTATACCGCGCTCACTTTTTTGGTGAATGAAAGGAGAGAATTTTTGGAGGGGGGGGGGGGGGAGAGGGAGGGGGGATGTGGGATGTGGAGGGGGGATGGGGGATGTGGGATGTGGAGGGGGGATGGGGATAGACGACCCTTGGGCTTGACTTTTTTTTTTTTTTAGGCGACATTTGTCCTATACTTTGTTCCACCTTCAGTCTGAGCGCAGTGGACGCCACAGGCCATCCCAGCCGATCCAGCGCCGGGAGAAAATCGCGTGACCTGCCGGTTGGGCAGAGGGACACAGGGAGCTCAAGGTCACATGACACTCTCTCCACGCTGGATTGGCTGGGATTACGTCCGCTGCGCTCGGACTGAAGGTGAAACGGAGTATAGCCCTGTTCCTCGAGCCACGTGCACTTCTAGTTTACGCAGAATTAAGGCTGGTTCGTGAGCGACCGTGCTGCGGGCACGTCTGACTGCTTACAAAAAGAGAAAGCATGATGGCACACTGGCAACATCTATTAGGTAGCTCTGGAACATTTCTGATCTGCACATAACTACAGTCGACAAGTTGAGAAGTCCAGTATTGATCTGCTTTGAGCGCGAGTGTTGTGCCCTTGGTAACACTTTGCCGCACGCGAAGCTAAAGCTAATGCAGCGAGGCAACGAGCGCATGCTAAAGGCAGAGCATCAGCACTTTTTATTATTTTGTTTTTTTTACCTGCTGTTGACTGTGGGCTGAAGGTTTTGCAGTATTTGCGAGATCGCATTTATGCGCTATCGACAAGGAACAGTCTCTCGCAACATTGTCAGAATTATCCCTAGCCCGTCGTGAAAAACGACACGCGAAAAATTGGGAAATACGAGCACGTCTTGTTAATACGAATAGCCCATTGTATAGATAACATTTTCTGGGACGCACTGGGTCAATACGTGCATTTTAATCTCGTTATTATGAAAAATTCCCGCTGTGGATGCTTTTTTTGGGGACAACGAAAGTGGCCATGTTAACGTGACGTTGTAAGTGCACCAGGACTATCGATAGACGGTGCCAGCGTGCTATCTCGTAAGTAGCGACAAGCAGTTGCAACAGCGTTGGTCGCACTAAAACGCATATGTGTGAACCAGTCTCTGCCCTTCAAATATCAGCTGTTACCTTCCGACCTCAATTTATTTCTTTAAGCAGCTGAGAAGAGTTTTATGTGCCCTTTGGTTGCAATGTGCTGCCACAAGGCAGCTCGTAAGTACACGTGCCGGACCGTCGACCGCTCCGTGCTATCAGCGCCATGACAAGGCTGCCAGGGCAGCCGCGTCATGGCGCTGATAGCACGGAGCGGTCGACGGCCCGGCCACCCGGCATTCACCTTCATATCGCGCACGACTGTACAAGTATCTTTGCATAAAAAAGCTTTTTCCCTTTCTTATCCTATTTTTCTCTCCTCCACTCACTTCTCTTTGAGTCATTTGACCCATGTTGCTTTTGTGACCAACAGGACAACATGTGGCAAAAGATCAGCTGGTTTACAAGTCATGATGTACGCGCAGCAATTAACGTTTTGCGTGCGTGAATAAGTTTATTATAAAATGTGTGCAAACCTCAACGGGGGAAACAAAAAGTCAAAGGCTACATTATGGTTGCCAGTCCAGTGTTTAACATGAGCTAAACTTGGTCTGGTTTCAAAGTTGGGAATGGTTGAGACAATGAAATTAGTCACGGCAATTTTGGGTATTTGGTCGTTAGTAGAGCCACTGATATGGCAGCTTTAGTTGGCAGAGTAACGCCACGCTTTTTCTCCGTGCCGTGCCTTGCCACGCTGGCCCGTTTTCCATGACGCCTGACTGTGCCAAATATTACCGAGCACACTCAAACAGGAATCAAGCATTGTCTGCTAATCTTGCCTCCCAACGATGCTATGGCAGAAAGCCCTTCCAACGGACAAAGTTAGCGGTGGAGCTCCTTCTCATACTTGTTCTCTCCCTTGAAACCTTCAGAATCATCTCCTGCCAGGGACATAACCAGTTTTCAGTTTCCGGCTCCATTTCCTTTCGCACTCTTCTCCTTTCCCCACTAGAGCGGGTCTCTGAGCTATTCTTCACTGAGAAGAGGAGTGTCTTCCTCTTTCTCCAATGGAAAGGAGGAATTGAGAGAGAGTTTCCTTTTTTCTGACTGTTTTTCAGCCTTTAAGTTCAGTAATCTGTCAATATTTGTATTGTCACTGCACGTCCCAAACCCAAATCAACGCTTTCGACAGAGTGGAGCGATCAAACTTAAAACTGTAGCTGCTCAGTGCTGCTAGATATCGGTTAAGAGTTGAGCTTGTTGGTACATACTTGTAAATATATCAGCTTGAACTTTAGAATTAAACTAGAACACAAAGAAAGAAAGGACAGGATAGGACGCACAGCTGACTACCAACGATGTTTTAGTGTAAACTTCTTCCTTGCGCGTTTGCTCCTTCATTTAGAGTCCCAAGTAGAGCACGATAAACCTATTATATAAATTACCCCATTCCGCCAATAAAGATCACTCTCGATATTTACACTTATACAAAAATATACAAAGCATTTACACAGAATTCCTAGAAAATTATTGTTTTTTTAAACTAACCCACCACAGGCTCGTGCTGTTGTTTGGGGCGTGACATTTCGTAGGTTCCGTTCTCCTGCCTTGTATGCTTCAAGTGTTTGCAGATGTTTTCATACACTGCAAAACAAAACATCTGCAAAAGCTTGAAGCATACAAGGCAGGAGAGCGGAAACGCAGATCAAACTCGAAGGAAGGTCGTGGTGCTACCTTACATTCATGTAAGGCAGCACCACGATTGAAAAAGATTGCAGCAAGACATGACGTTTAAGTAGTATGCTCCGCGCCCAACAAAGCCTACTCGATGTGCAGTGAAGTGAACCGAAGAAGAAAGACAAAATCCTGCAACACGGCCCACAGAACGCAGTATCTCCCATGCACAACAGGAGCGGTGTACCACATTCTCCTTTCTTGTGGGAAATGCTACATCGGCCAAATGGGCCGATGTATCAATGACAGAGCCCGCGAGCATGCAGCGTCTCTAAAGGGAACAGCGGCAGGACATCTGGCAGTTCATTGGAGGACATGCCAGTGCAGTGTAGCTTTTAACAGCACCACCATTCTTGCAAGAAACAACGATCCTCATGTACGCGAAATGCTCGAGGCGCTTGCCATCGAGGAGCACGTGAAGGATTGCGCCAGCACCCCATCAATCACCGTACACAAAAAAGAAAGACAATACCTACGAAATGTCACGCCCCTAACAACAACAGCACGAGCTTGTGGCGGGTTAGTTTAAACAACAATAATTTTTTAGGAATTCTGTGTAAAGGCTTTGTATATTTTTGTATAAGTGTAAATATCGGGAGTGATTTTTACTGGCGGAATGGGGTAATTTATATAATAAGTTTATCATGCTTTACTTGGGACCCTAAATGAAGGAGCAAACGCGCAAGGAATAAGTTTACACTAAAACATTGTTGGTAGTCAGCTGTGCGTCCTATCCTGTCCTTTCTTTGTGTTTTAGTTTAATTGTAAAGTTCAAGCTGATATATTAACGGTGCTGGATATCCCATTGCCAATGTGATTGCTAGGACAAAAATGGAGATTACCATGACTGCTTCCGGCTTTGCTCCCATAATCAGGCATCATTACCCCGCCTGCTAAAGCTGTCGCAAACAGTGGCTCTAGTAATGAGGGTCCATTCAGATTACTTGGAGTAGAAAGCTCTTGTTTCTAAATAAAGCAAAGCAAATATTGATTTTATCAGCAAAAACATACTGTTCATTTGGGAAAGTTGACCTTGAGTGTGCTACTGTTTTTTGTTGGTGATGCATTTTGTTATCCTCGGAACAATTTTATCTTGTTTGCATGTTAGCGGGATATACCTCTGTTGCCAATGTTGGACACTGTTAACGGCAATCTTTTATCTTCTCTTTTTTTTTTTTTTATTTACCTTGTCATGTGCTGCTGAGCGAGCCCCGAAAATTTAACTTGTAGTAAAAGAAATCAATACTCTAGTGTGCAGATGTTTCTTTTCCGTCAGAGATCTTTATCACACGAGCCTGTTCGTCGTGGAATGTATAAAAGCTGGCAATGAACGTTATTAAGCAAATTGCCTTACTGAGTGTCTTCCTTATTGCATACATCCCACTACTGCATGATATGCAATCTTCTTTTGTGAGTTAAGAATAGCAGGACAGGGTTCTCCTACAAAGCTCTCGCTCTTCACTTTAGCAGAGTGGACGCTGGGAAGGAAGAAGCCACCTGTCACTGTGAGTAGAGAGTTTTGCATGCAACAGACTATAATAAAATGCAGACGACAGCCTCGTTGCACCACGATGGTACGCATGTGTAACAAAGCTCAGTTCCTGTTCCGATACCGATAACAATATGTTGGGTGCGCAAAGGCGACGGTGGTGTATCGGGTGTCGTTATCTGAAGTCGCCGCGGTACGATTTACTAAAACTATTCACTTCCTTGATTATAATGCAATTAAATGCAAAGGTGCTAGCGAGCTGGACAAGAATGACGAAAATAATCCCTGGAGAAAGGGAACCAGGGGGACAAAGGACATACACAGCTAGGTGGCTTCCAAAAATATCCGCTTGGTCCTGGTTTTGCACCAGGAACACCTCCATTTCCAGGGAGCGCTCTACCAACTGAGCTAACCAGGAGCTAGATATCAGTAGAGCAAACGGGTTTTATCAGCTGCTACCAGTCTAACACCAAAAATTAAATGCTGGACGAGAACAGGACAAGCCGTTCACCCTTGTTGGTGTTAGACTGGGGGCAGCTGATAAAACCCGTTTGCTCTACTGACGGTAGGGCGCTTCGCTGAAAATGGAAAGGTCCCTGGTTTAATACCAGACCGAGCGGATTGTTTCGGTCGCGCACCAGTCACCTGGCTGTGTTTGGAGATATATGTTTGTCCTTTGATCCCCCTTGTTCCCCTTCTCCAGGGATTATATATTTTCGTTATTCGCTCCTTCCGGGGGCTCGCCAAGAAAGAGAAAGGGTGGATTTTCACCTAAG